ACGTGCAGACTCACGAGGTAACGTTCCATTCCAAATTAATACATAACTATATCAAGCTATATACGCCAATCTGCAGATACGTAAAGCTATCTGCAAAACAGAATACTAGCAATTCAAGCAATCGCTACGTGCTCATATACAAGGAAGCGCGGGAGTTTATGACCTCGTTCTTCTGTGTGTATTATTCCATCTACACGTGCATTACATATAGAGGACCAGCAAGGCATCAACTTCTTCCTGTGTATGTGACGTACATGGACGCTCAGTGGCAATTACACATACAAATCAAGAAAAGCAAGCGCTCAATCATGAAAGAAAACTCATTATAATCAACTAGTGCAATTATATAAATAAAATAAAACTAATTAACAAAACAACTCTTTATTGAATACTTGTAATATCTTGTCCACTAGCCTGCAATCCTCTTATCAACATCGAGAGCTCACAGCTAATCTTAGATACTTGATCCTCCTCGCCCGGTACTTTATTTTTAGACAAATATCTTATATCATAATTTCATTTATCGTAACGTATCTAGATAGATGCAAAAGTACAAAAAGTCGTTTTATGATCAACTAATTTTGGTGTTTTAAAAATATCAATAACATTATTAATTTAAATAAAATGTCGTATAATTGTTATAAATGATAAGAAAAAAATAACAAATGATAAATATAAAAATATATAAATAATAATAAACTTGGTTATAAATTAATTATCTTGAAGATTATTTATTAAATTTCAGCAACTAGTTATAGATTCTAAAAGAAAAGAAGATTAAATAAAATATTTATCAAAGATATCAGATACCGATGGTGCTTAATTTGTGTTCTGTTATAAAAACTTATTTTCATTTGTAAATTTGAATAAATGTTAAACTAATATTTATTAAATATTCATTAAAATTCTTTCAGTATTTATATAAATTGTTTATGTTTCATAAATTCAATAATGATAAATGATAAATAAATTATAATCCGGCTCGAAAGACCAAATGTTCGAAAGTTTAGTTTGTGGCTCGAACTGCCAATTTCATAGTTCAGTTTATTAGTTTTTTGCCATATCGATGCATAGGAAAAACACATGTGGACGGCTGAAAATATATACAGTTTGTGACTTCGTTTAAGACATCGTTTATTCTGTTTCATTAACAATTACAACATTGCTGTTCTATGTTCACTTCTTGTGGGAGAGAGGGGATTATTCTATTACAATGATGTGATTGTTTCTTAGTAGTGGTAGTGATGTTGTTAATGGTATTATGGGGATCAGCAATGGATTTTGAATATTTCATGATGGGGAATATGACTTATTGGGTTCTATGCTGACGTTGTAAGCATCAGCAAGAACAGCCAATCATGCTCATCACATGAGCATGGGAAGGTTATAATGGTAGATAGCAGTGCTTATCAGGGAGAATTGACCATACTCATAAGGGGGAGTATGGTAATAAGAGAATCGATCATACTCATAAGGGGAAGTGTTCGAGATTGAAGCCAGTTTCAAGACCGCCGATTGTCGACACGGGTCTCGATCTGCCCTCAGCAGGACCGCCATGGAATGGTCGGTATTTTCAGCGGAACGATCAAGCCTTCGGTTGGTGTGCGTATTCAAAAGGCTCATACGCTCATTGTAATCGTACTTCGTGCTCACTTAACTGTAATTGCCGCTCAGTTTTTTAGTATATAGTATACAGTTGGAATAGTAATCAAAGGGAACATCAGCTACGCAGTACAATAACACACCTTGTCAGCAGCTCACAAGGTACATTTTTATATTAATAAATAAGCTAGTCATACCTCGCACAAGAGTCGATCGGGCAAACTTACGGTCTCTCTTTCGAACCAACGCTTTTACCCGTGACGTCGACAAGTGTCGCAATTCGTCAAGCACATTGTCAAGGCCAGACAACAATATATTAAATAATCGACTATAAATACATTTCATTAAGTCCTTCAAGAGCACAAAGACTTATAATTAATTACTCTTGTGTGTGACTAGTCTTTCTACTGCCTCCATAAATAATTAAAGACACAATTGATTACTCACCAAGTTCCATTAAACATCTTACACCATATCAAGTATAGTTATTCCATATATCAAACATACTTGATTCAAACACCATCTTGACTACATGATTAACTACAACGGCTGATATTTACAACATCAGCATAACCTCAATTACAAGAGACACAGTAATATCCATAGAATCTACAATAATCGAGAATTCAAGGAAACACCCTTATTACTACAACAGAAGAATCTTCTCTCAATAACATTTCAATATTATTATTATAATTATTAACAAATAATAAACATTGTTTTACTAAAATACATAATATTTTTCAGCCCTTTCACTTATTATTTCCTTTAAAGTTATATTGACGAGTGACTAATCCACTGAACTATTGAATTGGCAGTTCAAGCCGTAAACTAAACCCTTAAAATCGAACAGGGAGTATGGGAGTATTAGTGTGCTAGTTATTCGCAATAAAGATAAATGATATACCTTCGAAAGCAGAAGGATTTGATACCATGATTTTTATAGTTGACTATTTATAGAATGGCAGTCAGCCCTTGACGGATTATTGTATTTGATGCACTGGAATAGAGAACGAGCGTTCCTTGCAATAGATGCATCGAGTGAGCGCGTGTTACTTGGGCATAGATGACTGGTTTGGATGAATAACTGAATAGTGCCACTGTAAACTACCGACACTGTGTACTGAGTGACTGCTGAGTGAAAACTACTGACGCTACGTAGTGGATGACTGCTTTATGTTAACTACCGACACTGTGTACTGAGTGACTGCTGATGGTAACTACGTGGAGTCTTGTCGCGCGCTTCCTTAAGTATCGGCACGGCAACTCGCACTAGAGAAAATATAAGCTTTGGGTTAATTGAAAATTCGACGTGAGAAAATGTAACTTTCCAAGTTCGAGGCTTAACAGACCTGTAGAGCGATCAAGAATTCTACGATTTTGGCTAGTCGGAAATTTGGCGTGAGAAAATGTCATCGTTCGATCGTTCTTTTCTTTTAATTCTTTGGATTTATCTTTAAAATAGATAAAATAAAATTTTTTTTTCATCCTATTTGTTATTATTTGTTATCTATCAAATATCAGTTCATCAGAATCAATCATTATATACTTAATTTTAGACTTTCTTTCTAAGAATATCTGGGTAGTGAAAATACAACTTGTAGTTAAATGGTTCATATATATCTCTTGTTGTTTCACCTTGTACTTTATACCTGATGGTTGCAATATCATGACCTCGTGAAGTATAATGTTCTATCTTATACTTCAATGCTGATGATATTAAAACCAATACGTTACTCTGTTCATCATGTATTATCAGTATGTTATAAAAATTTACAATTTTACACGACGTACCTTATTCAGAACTGCGCAAAAAATTGTTGAAAGATTGGTTAAATACATAAATTATAAATTTTATTGTAACTTTGTTATCTTGTTACTGAAAATAACTTAGATAAAAAATTGCGAAATAGATTTATATTTATAACGACAAATTTTAATGTTATTGTGATTACTATTTCATTATTAAAAATACATGTGTGTGCGCGCGTGCGTGCGTGTGTGTATGTGTGCATGAACACTTGTAAATACACGACATGTAGACAATAATAGTCAATGCTAGTAGCGATACAAATAGTGAGATGAGTGTATAACAATAAATTGTTGAATCATGAATCATGAACTAATATAGAATTATTACCGAGATTGTGTATTAAATACAACAACTTCTTAATCTTGTTTAACACTTTATAAATAAAATTCAAATGTATAAATTTAATAATGTATAGCTGATATCAAGAACAATGTTTCAAACAGCATATATCGAGAAAACAATGATTGTAGAGTAGATATCAATTTAATCTTAGAATCTAAGAATCTCTAATTACCAGGCACAACTAAAATTGAGTATGTTTGAACATTTATACCGCAAATATTTATAAATCGATGGATTAACCGTTTATTTAGTAACAAACGATAATTTAAATAAAAAAAGATAATCAGTACTTCTATGCAGTGCTGTCATAATAACCATTTACAGCGAAAAATTCAAATTTATAGCTCTATAATTCAAATTTACACCATTTATTAATATAACAATACTAGCTCAGGATTTTAGTTGTGAAAATATAATAAATAAGTATAATATATTTATATATCATAATTATAAACATTAATTTATAAATTCTAGTCAATTTTTTTTTAATGTAACGCTATATAAGGCTTTCACTTCGATTTTATTATTTAACCATTTCCAACTGAAAATTTGAAATGTAAATAATCAATGATCATATTATTATAAATAATATTTAACCGTACAAAAATTTAAAGATCATTTTATTCACTCATTATAAAGTGATCACAAATAGGTCCTGTAAAGTTGAAAGTATCCCTTTCTGCCGCATGCGTAATGTAAATTTAAGTTTCCCAATGGTACAATGTTAATAGTTTTAAATATTCTATCAAGTATAAAAAATTGTGGCATTTTATATACATGTTTTTAAATATAAAAACTTACATTTACAATTTACAAAATTAAAATTTTATATATATACCATATATAGATTTACAAATAACATATTATTAATAAATATATTTATAAATAATAATGTAGAACTAAATAATTTGAAATTTTTTATATCTATCTATCTTGGTTTTTATGAAGTATTAATAAAATAAGTAGGCTTTAACTGTGCATAGTAAATAAATATATTAACAGTCTATTAAATAGATTTTTCTATCGTATTCTTTCTTGTAACTGCATAATATATGTTCAATCAACATACAAATTCTTAAATGCAAATAAAAAATTGGTTATAAAATACTACAGATTATATCATATAATATAAATAATATAAAATACTTAGTTATTTTATATGATTATATGAATCACATTAAAATTTAAAGAAATTTCTACTTACAATCATTTCTGATAATTTTTGAAAAAATTATTAAAATAAACCTTACTTATTTATACGTGTTATACATTTATTTGATAATGGATAGTGAATATAGTCATAGAAAATTAAGTCATTTACGTAAAGTTTTAGAACGATCTGGACCTTTTTGTCGTCCAGATTTTGAACCTTCATCAGAATCTTTAAAATTTTTAATGCAAACATGTAAAATACTTGTAATTGGTGCTGGTGGATTAGGTTGTGAATGTTTGAAAAATTTATCACTTATGGGGTTCAGACAAATGCATATTATTGATATGGATATAATTGATTTATCAAATTTAAATAGGTAAGAAACTTGTACTCTTATATAATATTGTAAAGAGATTTTTATTAATTTTGTGTTATATGAATTCATAAATTAATTTAAAGAATAGGAATATTTTTGAAAAATAAATTTTATTAAACAATTAATAAATAAGAATAAAATTTACTTTGATAAAGGAAATATATATATATATATATATATTTATTGAATAATGTACAGTACTTATATCTTTAAATAATTAGTAAAACAATTGATTTTTATAGATTTTTTATTTGTACTATTTTTGTTTGAAACTATAAAAAGATATAATTATTTGAATAAATTAAAAAAAAAGTATAATTAGTTTTAGATGTATAAATAAATAATAAATAATTAAACACTACATTGATTATTCAAATTATAGATTTGAAATAAAAGTTGTGAAAGTATTGTATATATATATTAGATTAAATTATATATATATATATATATTATAACATTGATAATATAATTTTTTTTATTGTAGTCCAAAATATATATTTTTTTGTAATTTTATTTTTTCTTTAGCATGTTCATTTATTCTTATGTAGTATGTAATCATTTGTCTTCTATTAAAGTAACTTGAATGTAAATTTCATTTACAATTTGTTTGTAATAACAAATTTCAAGAAAAATTATTTATTATTTTATAAGTGAAATATAATTCGGTTATTGTAATTTAGTGTATGTAATGTAGTTTATTGTAATGTAATGAAATTTGTAGTCTTATTGGTGAATTTTATTATACAGATATAAAAGTAACAAAATTTTTGTATTTAAAAGTATACATAATTAATTTTGCAGTATTAAATTGTACATTTATAGTTATTCAATAAATAAATTAAACAAATTTAAAAAAAGAAAGCATATTTATATTAAAATAAAAATAATCCATGAAAAGGAAATCAATGTATTATCATTAATACAACAATTGATGCTAAGGACAAGAATAAATGCAAAGACTTTTTTTGTTGAAATTTAAATGTTACAATATGTTATATAGATTAAATTGAAGTAAATTGAAAAATTCAATTTTTTTAAAGATAATTTTCTACATTCTAATAATCTATATTCTATATTCTAATCTAAATAGAAAATAAACAAATATACATAATTTCACTCATATTCTTTGAATTTTATCATGGATAAAATGTTTGAGTTAAATATGCACTTTTATAATTTCTTAAAATATTTTAAGAGTGACACACTTGTATACATTAACAGAGATGTAATACTTTCACATAATTTATTAATGTTACTTAATATTACGAATTTAAATGATAAAAATTAATAGAGAAGATCAAACCATGGATCGATTAATAATCATAGAAAATTTATAATTTACAATTAAAAAAAAAATTTTTAAGAAAAAAAGTATTTTACGAATTTTGATAAATATTTGTAAATTAATTAAAAAGTATACTTTAATTAGTCACTAATATCAAATACTCTGTACTAATTAAACCATGAATTTTTTATGTATGGTCAAATATAATACTAGCAGCCACAACTAATTACAATACTGTAAATTAATAATTTTTATATTTACTAATATGAATTATAATAAAAAAGTCAAACATATACAGTGAGATGTACTACAATATAAAAAATCCATTATGTAGATAAATAGAAATATTACTTATATTTAATATGAAATACCGAAATAGGGAGACTGTTTTGATATATAAACATGTTTTTTTACCGTTAATTACAACAATGAATAATATATGGAATTAGGAGTTTTTAGTTACCAAAAAGTAGTGTTGTATAAAAGAAATAAACTTCTGTATATTAAATTATGTAACAAGTATATTCTATCTTTAAAAGCCAATATGAATAGTGTCTTTTTTATTTATTAAATATATTAAATTATAGATTATATTAAATTGAAATTTTAAGTTTTAATTATAAAGAAAATTATAAATCGTTCGATCAAAAAATATATACTTAAGAATTTACATAGACTGTATAGATCAATTAATTATACATGGTGTAAGTTTAAAAAAGTAATCCGTCAATTTTATACCTATTTAAAACAATGATAATTATTGAACTTGTTATTTTTTATCAAAAGAATTTACTTGTATTGAATAACTTATATAGTGATTTATTATTTATTATTTTAATTAATAATTTAAAATTTAAAAATAGAGTCTGAATTGTCTTCAATATTTATTATAATATTAAGTAATAAATATTTTTTTATACCTTTTTAGACAATTTTTATTTCGACACAAAGATATTGGTGCTTCAAAATCAGAAACAGCAGCAAAATTTATAAATGACCGTATACCTGGCTGCAATGTAATACCACATTTTTGTAAAATTCAAGATAAAAATGAAGATTTCTATAGACAATTTCATATAATTATTTGTGGCTTAGATTCAATAATTGCAAGGAGATGGATTAATGGCATGTTAGTATCGTTACTAATTTATGAAAATGGCATTCTAGATCAATCAACTGTAATACCATTAGTTGATGGTGGAACAGAGGGATTTAAAGGGAATATTCGAGTTGTTCTACCAGGACTAACTGCTTGCATAGAATGTACTCTAGATTTATATCCTCCACAAGTAATAAATTTTATGATTATTTAATACTTGTACAAAATTTAACATATGAATAGCTTATATTAAAAATAAAAGAGTATTTTTAATATTTATCCAAATTTTAGTAAAAAATGAAATTATTGTTGAATTACAAAGTAAATGACAATTGTAATATAAACTAAAAATAATATTGTCATGAAAATTAGTTATTTAATATTATTGTTAATATTACTTGTAATCTTAGTATCTAAAATATAAAAGAAAGGGTATAGGTATATACAAGAAAGGGTAGCCTATATTTGTAATACTTTTTAAAAATATTAAATTCATATTTTTATATATTCTCTCTATATATACTCTCTATAAATATAAACAATGAATAGTCATTTTAATTACAATTCAGCATTTTAAAGTTTCCAAATGTTGATATTCAAATTTTAATGTAATATATTATTCCTTAAATGATGTAAATTTAGAATTGTAAAGATGACATGGGTTTGATTTTAACATATTACAATATAACACAAAGTAAATATGGAAATATTCTTCTGATAGTACTATATCGATCTTAGTACAAAAAAAGAAGAAAATTTCTGTTATTACTATAATGTGATTTGTTGACATTTCACTTCTGTGTACCTGTATTTTTTATCCATGTTTCTTATAGTAATACACTACTAATATATTAAATATATTTGTTTTTCGTTTTAAATTTGCTGTTTAAATAAATTAAATGTGCATAATTTTAAAATTGAGTCAGTCATTTATGACTCAAATTATGTGATTAAATAAATTGAATAAATATTCTCTAAACATACATGTTAATATAAAGCTGCAAATATAAAATATTAATTTAATATTATATATCAATAATTTAAAAATTTTATGATCAATAGTTTAATATTACCCCATATAGGTAATAGTACAAGAATATTTTGTTGATCTAAAATTAATTGTTATTATTGGTTTTATAAAATTAACAATTTTTAGTTAAAAAGAAAAGAACATAGTAATATATATATATTAAATTCAATCAAATAAAATATTAAAGATTTTTAAAAGAACGTCTTGTTATATACTATATAGTATGTACTAGTAATATATTAATTTTTATTTTCTACATTTTGTACCATACTTTTATTGTATATATACAAATACTTCATATATATAAATGAAAATTTTTTTCAAGAATATATTCTGTTTGATATTGAATATACTGTATAAATTGATATACCTTTCTTAATTTTTTTGAAAAATGAACTTTTAATTTATAAATTTTGCAAAATGTATAAATGAAGCAAGAGGAAAAAATACTGTTTGTCATTTAGCCAATTCTTCAGTTTGATTCATGTAGAACATAACAGAATTACAAAATTTGATAAATATTACTAAATGAAAATTATACTTATATTGTTCTTTAATGTAGATGAACTCGTTTATTTTGAGTAACTATTTTTATTATGTGGAACTATATATTATTAATTCTATTTATTTTTTATAGTATTTAAGAAGATATATTCTCTTGGCTGATTAGCTTTATGCAATCCTATTCATATATATATTAAATTTATATACAAGCATTTTTCTTGTTTTTTTAGATGATATTTAAAATCATTAATTATTATTTTATATAGAAAAATAAAGTAATCTGAAAAAAAGGTTTTCTGAAATCTTTTCTAGGTAATATTTGTTCACTTGTACACTAATTATTACATGTAGTATAGAAACAAAACAGTTTCCTTTAATATATAAAAAAAATTAATTTTGCTATATTATTAAAGTATGCACATAATTGTGTCAAGTTTACTGTTATTTATTTAATTTTAACACAATATCTATGATATTGGTAAGAACTAATTTTTAATGTTTCTAAATTTTTAGTTAAATTTTATCAATTGTAAATGTGATTTATATATATTTAAAATATACAGTTTTTGTTCTAATTATAATATGAAGGTTTGGAAAACAAAATCTTTTCTAGTAAATTAATAGTCCACATGCTTAATTTCTATAAATTTTTTTATATTTCAAAGCATACAAAAGTTTAAGAACCAAACTAAGACAATTGAATAAATAATAGCTTAATTAACAATTCATTTGCAATTTTTAATGCTTCATTTATATATAGATAACATTATATAAAATATATGTAAAATTAAATTAAAATTTTTAATTATGACTAAATATAACTTAAAATTTATAAATAAGATCATATTTTAAAGATATAACAAATGAAAGTGATTATTATTTTGATATTGATTAAAATAAAAAACAGATATATCATAAACTTAAACAAACAAAAACTATCTAATGTCTTTAAATTAAAACTTATATTTTGATTTTAACTATATTAAATAATGAAATAAATAATAGATTTCATATTTAAATATTTGAACAATTATTTATAAAAGAGTCATATAAATATTACTGTTTACATTGTCTATAAATTAGATTTTTAATTATACTATATTCAAAATTTAGAAAAATATATATGATTTATTAAAAATAAAATATTTTTATTTTGTTTTTCTAATTAGCTTTTTATGATGAATGAATTTACTTAAAATACCCTTGTAGCTTATTAAGCAATATTCTTTTCACAGTTAGAAAATCTGCGCAAAGTATAGTTTTTTTATACTTGCGATAATGTAAGAATTTATAAATGCTTCAGCGAAATTATTCAATTTGATTACAAATACATCTTATTAAAGATTATATTAATTATTTAATTAGTAAATTTAAATTATTTTTAATTTTATATTACTTCAAAAACGTGTTATTTATTTATTAATTATAAACACACGCCACACACACACACACATATATATATATATATATATAAACATATTTTATTTGTAGATTACTTATCCATTATGCACTATAGCAAATACTCCGCGTTTACCAGAGCACTGCATAGAATATGTTAAAGTAATTCAATGGCCTAAGGAAAATCCTTTTGATTGTTCTATTGATGGAGATGATCCACAGCATATAAATTGGATTTACGAAAAATCTATGGAACGAGCAGTCAATTTTGGAATTCAAGGATTAACGTATCGATTAGTTCAAGGTGTTGTAAAAAACATTATACCTGCTGTTGCATCGACAAATGCTGTAATTGCATCCATATGTTGTACAGAAGTTTTTAAACTTGCATCTAGTTGCAGTCCATCGTTAAATAATTATATGGTAATTATTTAATTTGTTTATATATGCATAGAATATAGAATAACAAGTTCTTTTTATTAATAATTTTTAATTATTTAATTACAAATTTTGAAATATGAATGCTTATTATTTTCTAAAGTAGTAATATATTAATTTATCAAAATCGAAAACCATAAGTTTATTTGACTATTTTTAAATATTTTTTAACAAATCTTAAAATACTACAGATAGATTACGGAATGCTTAGGAAACGAAAAATGTAAATTCCCAGCTTTTATAAATAACCAATCGAATAATAAATATAGTTACTGAATTAATAAATTAATTAATAAAAAGTTACTAATTATTTCATAAAATAAAAAAAAATTAAAAATATTAATTTATTATTATTATATATATAATATAAAAAAATATTAAATTTAATTTAATATTAAGATGTTGTATTATAATAAACCATTTCGCACATTTTCCAACTTGTCGTTATATAACAATAACCAAGAATGCATAGAAAAATAGAAATAAAGTTGTTTGAATATAAATTATTACACTTCATTTGCTACATTAACTTAAAATACTTTTAACTAAAAATTTCATAAAATTTTAATTATAAAAGATTTAGTAAAATTGAAGTCTTTGTATGAAAATATGAGTTTATTATTGACAATAAATGTTATATTATTGTTATAGAATGTTATATTATATATAATATATATATATATATAGAATGTTATTGTTATAAAGTGTTATAGTATTTTCGCTATGATTACATAGATTATATGCATCATGATGCAACATATATAATGACATAACTGAATATGTAATATCCACATTCAAAAGTAGTTCATAGTTTATAGTTCTAATAGTTCTAAAGCTATAACATTATTATAAAATTATAATACTGAATTATAAAATATATGTATCTTTTAATTATTTACTTCACTATAAGATCATAGGATCTTATAAAAATAACTAAAATTTTAAGTTTTGAAAATCATATTTCAGTCGATCGTCGATATAAAAAAGGCATTCAATATTAAAAAGGATAATGATATATCTAATGAGTTACGAATAAATAATTGTTCAACTAAAAAGTATTATTGAGTTATTAACAATAAATTATTAAATAATACAGTCTCTTTTGATTTTGCGATTGTAAATGAACGTCCTTCGTGAGACAACAAGTTCCAAATTTAACAATAACTTAAAATAAATTCAAATCCTTAATACTTAATAAATATAAATTTATTTGATAGTTTTTTTTATAAATCTGAATAACGTATGCAATCTATTTTTCCAGTTTTTCGTAATTATATATCAGTTAATCATAGTTCTATAAATAAAGTGCGAAGAGAAAATGATATTCGTCTTCGTATTTATAACTAAATGAAATCTCATTATTTATATAGTAAATTCGTGAACTTATATTGAGTGAGTTTATATAATTAATCTTTTTGTGAAACGATCAGTATATATATATTATTGCTAGTTTATCTAAGTAAAAGGTTACTGAAAAGTTGAAGCTACTTCAATGAAATCTGCCACTTAATAATAAATAGGGTGTTTGAGATTCAGAGAATTTCTCGAATGTTAGAAAAGTTAGAGAATTTCTGGGAAAACAACGGCTATCATTTCGGTGAAAGTCCCAAGGGTTATAATTTCTGGGGAAACCTCCACGGTCATTGGACCTTCGAAAAAAAAACAAATGCACAATTGCCTCCATTGTTGGCAGCTTGTACATGTCAGTGCAAACAACACCATTCGACGCCACATCAAGTATCGAACCATTTCTTCACCCTTCCACACCACGAGACATCTTTCAGGGGGTCAGCAATCAAGTTACCACCACGTGGCACTACACGAAGAGGTGTCGAGAGATTTATGACCTATCACTTCTCAGTGTAGTGCTTCACCACCAAGCGCATTGCATCAAGAGGTTCCGAAGATTTACGACATCCTACCTCTACAAGTAGTGCATGCTAACAGCTCGTGGCAACAACCAAGGATCGGCGAGAATTCAGCGACTCTCAGAGTCAACGTAGATTCATTATAGTGTAGTTGTAAAATAAAACGTAATAACAAGCACGAAAAGCAGATGTGTTAAATACTGAATTGACGCAGTTACACTTAACCACACTTTTCTCCCTCCACTAAACTGGTGGGTATAGCCTAATCCTAAACAGTCCTTCGATCCGGATGAATGCAATTCTAAACAGGGGGTATAATATATTTGTAATCTAAAATAAGGGTGCCAGAATATTAATGAAAACTTCTACGCACAATAACATAAACCAATCATATTACTTTGCGTTTTCTTTAAACAAAATTATTAAACTATTGTCTATTGTTATTTTAGAATATAAAATTTTTTTTTCTGAAGTTTAGAAATTAAAATTAAGTTTAAAAAAGGTTATGAATGCGAATAAAAAAATGTTTCTCACATAAAACAATAAAGGGTTAAAATAATATATTCAATCGAAGTGCAGCTATTTGCAAGTAATTAAATATATCTTGCTCGGTAAAATTGTGAAAAATATAAACAATGAGATTCACAATATAAAAGTTGAAGAATTAGCATAACGATATTTATATTGATCAAATAATTAATTAGTAATCAAATAAACCAAATTGAATCCTCTTTTCACGTACAAAGGAAATTAATGTTACGAGGAATGATCTATCAATATGATTAGTACTAAAAAAATAAGTCTTTAAGTAAGATACTAACTAATCTGCATGAAATATGTGGTAAAATATTTTATTATCTGATCAATTTGAATGTGTATTGAAGATCAATGTTACTAATAAAATTAATCATTTTTATATTGAAGTGTATATTAAAAATATTAGAAGTTTAGTAAGAAAGTTGTAGAAGTTAGAAATGAGTTAGGAATAATAAAATCATAATTTTTTTTTTAATTCTAATTGTCACTATTATTTTGCTGTATATTTTAATATGTAATAATAATTTAATATTATCATAATGTTTATATTAATTTTTTTTTCTTTAATTTTGTATTTTTAATTGTAATAATTTATCTTACAGATTTTTACAAATACAGATGGAATATATGGTTATACTTATGAAGCAGAAAAAAATATTAATTGTTTAACGTGTAGTCAGACAATAAAAGAAATTGAAATTAAAAGTATTTATATTAAATTGAAAGATTTAATTCAATTATTATGTTCGAAAAATGATTTACAAATGAAAAACCCAGGTATTACGGCAAATATTTCAGGAAAAATTAAAACTTTATATATTCAAAGTGTTCCAAGTATTGAAGAGAAAACTCGACAAAACTTATCAAAAACACTATTTGATTTAGGTTTACGTGAAAATTCCGAAATCATAGTAGCCGACGTTACCACTCCTAATACAATTATGTTGAAAATTAAATTATTAAAAAATAGTTAAAAAAAATGTTTTGCAAAAAGGACAGTTTTTATTTTTATTAATATCTCATAAAATACCTTCATTTACCGTTTTAAATTATCCAACAAATAAATTATTCAACTTATACAAACAATATCAGTATTTTCTACCTCATTACATTACTAAATCATAGAGTTGTATCATATAATATATAATCGAATACATTTTTGTAAATTAATATAGCTTTTTTATATTTTTATTTCATTATATGCAGAATTATATAATAATTACAGAATTATTATTAAAATGTACTGATCTAGTTTCACATAAAATAAATGAACCTATACAGCACTGCTAGAGAAATAAACCGAAATTGAAAGTATAGTTTTTCTGTAAAAATTATACAACTTGTATTATGAGAAAATTTATTTTATAATTAATTGTTATAAGTATGTAAAAAATTAATCATAATATATACAGTTATAACAATATGTATTTCATTATTTACGTCTTGAATAAAGTATTTACGCCTAATACATTTTACAAGCTTATTCAGTTTTATTTGAATATGATTGTTCAAAATGAGCAGTAAATGTATTCAAATCTGAAGTATATAGATTTATGATTTACTGTACAGTGTATATTCGTTTATTTAATTTTTTATTTCTACTTTAATTTGAAATGATACATGTGTTAACTTACTAATTATCTTACAATAATTTTACACTGTCTTAGGGTATTTTTAGATTAAAGTTTAATGTAAATATTATCCGTATATATGTTTAATAATTTGTATACTTAATATTAAGTTTATTTTAAGTTTCCTTTTAAATAAAATAATTTTGTTACCATAACCTAAATAGAAACAAAGAATATTGAAAAATAATAAGCAATATTAAATATTCGATCAATGATATATATATGAGTCGTTTATTTATATCTTACAAATGCAAAATTATTATATACGTATATGTACAATATGTTTCTTTTACCAATTGCAAAATAAAAATTTTGATATGAAATCTGCTCTTGCTTATACATATGTAGCATTCTACGTGCTAATAAATTTATTTTTAAGAACTTTAATAATATTGAAGATATATTATGCAATTTTTAATATAACCAGCATTATACAAAATTAGCAATTAAAGATAATTTATACATGCAGTAATGTAAAAATGTACTAAAAAGATAAAAAATCAAATGATCGAGTTCGATTTTTGAAACACTACTTGTTGCTCAAATATATGCAGATAATGATACCTAGTGAAAACGCAACCAACATTTGAAAATTAAAATAGCGAATATTTCAATACATTAAATTATTTAAATATTTAATTACACGGTATGTGTTATTTATTTTATTTTACTAAATATTTAAAATTTGATATATTTGTCGACTTATTAAAAATATAAAAATATAATTGCTTAACTGGTAAAATCAGCATACTTTACATATATTGATTTTTACAGATTAAACTTTATTATACAATAATTGTAGTTATTCATAGTAAACAATTTTTTAATCAATATAATTATAAAGTTTATATACTCGTACATATTTTTTTAATTTATTCCGTAAATTCATGTATCGATTAGTCCATATGTATTACAGCTTAGTTTAGAGAATCTTCTAATGCACTTGGATAAGAACTTAACTATATTTAAAAAATACAGACCCACACAGTGTCCAATAAAATTGCCAATAAAAACAAATGATATGTTCACATATAATTACATACTATCAAAAAATGTAATACTTTTATTTTTAGTTCTTATTAAAATTATTAACTATGAAACAATATTATCAATGTTTTTTTATGTATTAATATTAGACAGTTCTTAGATTATTAAATTTGTATTAATATATCAACGCCAATTAAAAATATATAATACAAAAAAATAAAAATTAATATTATTCGTTTATTAAGAATTGAAATGTATAGTTTGTAAATTACTTTTCATTAACATAGTCTTTATATGGTAAAGAGGGTAAGCGTGCATTTTCTTTAAATTCACAGAATTAGGTTGTCTATAGAATCATTCCAGACCATAAATAAGGATTAAAAATTAAAATATACTAAGCTATAAACTTAAAAATAATATAATAAAATAAAAACTAGAAAAAAAAAATTAAAATGGATTAAGCAATAATATTTTATAAAATCCATCACAGCTCTTAATTGTAATTAGACTTGACAAATAAAGATAACAATGTTCTACAATATTGTTATTAAGAACGTTATATTTATTTGAAACATTTTCGAATTCATAGAAAGCTATTAACCGCTTTTATAATGCAAAAACAAAATATTTTAAGAAATAAAATTTTTTTTTAAAATTAAATATAAGTAATTTAATTAAGTCAAAACTAATTTAATTACAAATTATTTTTATGTTTAAATTAAACTTTATTTATCTGTTGTTGATAAATAAAAATGATGATAATTGAAGGTATAAAATGAATTGATAAAATATAAAAAATACTTTACTTTTATTGTCTGTAATAATTTAAAATTATAATAAAGATTTTTATTTTAAATTATATAAATATAAGGGTAATTATAAAATTCTTGTGATTTGACAGTATTAAAAGAAATGTTTTCTTTTATGCATACTCACACATTTAAAAACTAAAAATTCAGTTTAACTGACTATTGTATTGACGATTTTTTATGATAATAACTAATTACTTTAACTAAGTAAAATTTTCATGCAAAAAATTCATATTTTATAAAAGAATAAATATTATGATTTGTTGTTTGAAAATTTACCTGTTTCATTTCAAGATAAATTTGAATTTAGTGCCCTTTGTGATGTGTAAAATCAATTGTTTTTAAAAAATCTTTATAGAATTTAGACTTGATTCTTCTGTACAAATTTTACAAGGCAATAAAACTAATAATTAACAAAAATTGTTTCTATATAGAATTTTAATTTAATAAAGATACTGTGAAATAAGCAGAAATTTGATAGTATATGTATATATTTATGGTCGAAAAATTGTTATGATTTAATAGATAAAAAATAAATAATTAAAAACAAAAATTAGAATTTAAGATTTTCAATAATCACTACATGATAACTCATTTACAGTACAATTTATTAAATATTTAACATAATGTACAGTAAAATTTATACATCTTTGTTAGACAGTCGCATAAAATCTCTCGTAAATCCAATACAACAAACTAAATTAGGTTCGTATATGCACTTTAGGTATATTATTTGAATTATTTGGAATTATTATCAATATTTACTAAATATTTTTCCTAATTAAATTATTTATAAACACATTTATTTTTTCATTTTACTTTTACTGAATAAAAAATGTCTAATTTAATATTAAAAATGTTATTAAATAATTTAAAATATTTTTTTTTAATTATTTTCAATTGAGCACTGCATATTGAATTATTTCTTCTAATTAATTTCCAATATTAAATGTACAATATTTAAAATTTATAATAGATATTTTAATTATGAGATAATTTAAATTTATAAAACTAAAATATGTATTAAAATGTGTTTTATACTTTTATACAATACAATAAAATTAATATCATGTAGCTTATTAAAAATATCCTAAATGTTTAATAAAATTTTATTTTATTTTCGTGTAATTGTATATATAATGCTTTATATTTCTAAATTTCAAATACTATTTTTGTTTTAATATTTTAATTTCAAATAAGATAGAAATATTATGTATATAAGTCAATAAAATTGTTCAAATAAAAAAATCTATATTTTAATTTATAAGCTTCAAATAATTTAGATCAAGTCTACATTTTATTAATAATGTGACTGTAAACCAAATGTCTAGTTTATTTTTATCTTATTTTTTAATTGAATTTCTGGTCATTCAAAATATTGAATTTAAAGAGAATAAATAAAAATAAGAATAATTAAAGTGAATGAAAAAAATGTATAATTTTATGGTGTGTGATTTTATTAAATCTTTGATTAACAAAAGATTATAAAATGGTCTAACGATTCATTTGTGTAAAAGTAGAGAAGTATACACAGCCTTTGATAAAGTAAGTTATGATTTGCTACAATTTTTATATACATATATCAAAAAGAATGATTCTAAAGGTAAAGTAATTAAAGCTTATGAGGGAGGAGAAACATACAATAGGGTAAAGAAAGAAATCATGTGTTAAAAAAAAGGTTCAACAAGCAAATATGTAAAAGAAGTATTGTATAATAAATTTGTAATGAATTAAGGTAGTTACTAAGTGTATACTGAATACAATACTTTGGATAACTACATATTAAGTCTATTTTTAATCTACTTTAAGATTACTTAATATAATCACAATCAATATTTGTATTTCAAAAATTAACCATTTGTATTTTTAATTAATACAAATTCAATTTACACATTTTTTTCATTTCATTTCAATAATTCATGTATTAGATTTTATTATCTTAAAATTTGTCCTAAATTAAAAGTTTTATTCAACTGCAAATTGTTAAGATTTGAAGACAATATTCAAAAAAGAAGAAAAGTAGACTTTATAAATAAAATTATTATAAAAAATTGATGTATTAAAAAGAAGTTAGATTAATTAAAACTATTTACCAGACTATTTATAATATAATATGAGAAAATAAGTATGAAGTAAAAGAAATACAAAAGGATTTTAAATTAATTATATCATATATAACATATCATGTATAATCTACAGATATAAATAGCAATATGCTTTACTTTAATATTTTTTATAATCTAGTTAAGCTTATAAAATTATAATAAATATTTCTTGCTCAGAGAGTTAATGGTCATTGATGATTAAAATTTATCATTTAATATTATTAAAATAATAATAGTTATTAAATTTGAATAAATAAATACATAATAAATCCATTAACTTTTATGTATTCATAAAATTTTTCAGGTATTGGTGGGGATGATACAATTATTAATTTTCAGTTATTTACTTTTGAAAAAATTAAGAATTATCATTTTAAATGTTCAATTCCCTATGCAAAAGAAACTATTAAATTTGAAATGTATTTCAATCCGTTATATCCAGAACTTGGACCAGATTTAGTTTTTGATGACGAAGAATTCTTACAATTAGATAATATAATTTATTTTGAAAATAAATTATCTAGTCTCTGTAAATGGAATACCGATAACAGTAATTGTTTGTTAAATGTTTTGCAAGAGATTTTTGAGCTTTATAAACAATATCAAGTATTATTTATTTGTGCACAGATTTAATATATTTATAAATTTAATAATTTTACTATAGTGAAATATTTTATTTTAGATGCACCATTTAAAAATATATAAATTACCCACAAACTGTATTGAATTAATACATAATATTCAACCGAATAATTTAGAAATTATTTTAGTTCAAAGGTGTAAACAAATAGAAGCAAAATTGTTTACGAAATTAGATCTTATGTTATCAACAAAGTTATTCAAGAGATCAACCAAAGTTACAATTTTATTACTCATTTCTATTATGATTTCATCGCAAAATTCCATTACACTCAAACTATATTTACCACTTTATTTAACAAATTTATTTAATGGGTCAGAGGCATTACATGTTCCACCATTTCTTGATTTTCGATGTTTTCATGATTATGAATTGATACTTAAGCAATGCATTACTGAAAAGGTAAATAATATGTTTATAAAACCCTGTCATTTATATTATGAAGTCTATTGAAATATTAAGATTTTCATTTGATTAACAGGAAACTAGCTTACTAAAAAATTCTGTTCTCTATGATGAACTATTCAAATTTTTTTTTTTTTTAAATTCAAATGAAAATAACTATTAATTTTTAATTATATATTCTGTTAATCTGTAGATATATAATTACATTTTTCCACATTTAAAAAGCAAAATCTATTATTTATTATTTTAACTTAAACTGTTTTATTTATAATGGTCATATATGTATAGTCATATATTTTGTTGACATAACTGTGTTTCAAAGGTATATATAGAATAAAAATTGATATATTTCTGTTAACTTTTATATATAATACATTTATGATTAATCTGCCAATAGAACAGAACAATAAATATATGGTTCATTATGTTTTTTTTTAATAATCAACCCAAAATAAATAATTATTTAGGTATCTACTAAAATTCACAAAAATATTATACAGAACAATTTTAACCACTTACTATTATTTTTTATATTTGTTTAACTAATAAGAAATAAGTATTTGAAGAATTACACAATAAAAAAAGAATATTGTAATCTCAGAATTGACTAAATAAATTGAATTTATTCCAGATGAAAAATAATTATTAATTGTATTATAAAAGTGATAAATCAATTAAACAAATACTTTTAACAAAAGTTATGTTGAAACTCATTGTGATTGGAAGATAATAATTTAAAGAAGCATTATTCATGTATCTATGTATGCAAATATATCGATTCGATTTAAAGTAAATAGAAATCCTCTGCTTCATTACGAAAATTTGATAGTACATTGACTTGTTCATTAAAACTTAATAAATTCCAAGAATTGTAACCTACATTTGAACTAGTAAAATTAATGTATAATTATTTTCAAACAGTTGAATTAAGAATGAATATAAAAGTCATGACGAAAAATTATAATTGATCTAATCTCATGCAAAATATTATTCTTAATATTAAAAGATCTAACAAATTGATATGAGTTCATCGATTACATATATTATAACAATTTTTTTCTTAGTTTGTAAAATTGCTATTAATAAACGTTCATTATTTATATACCGATTACATTAAACTCAATGTGAATATAAATATCTTAGATATATTTATTTAATTCAATTCCAAAACGTTTAGTACAAAACTATTCTGCTGAAATAAGATTAGTGAGATTGTTGACTTTGTGACAGAAAGATATTGTACATTAAATATATTCATGAAATATCATTTATTACACATAAAATATATAATCATTTTTATACAATATAATATATACTCGAATTTATTAAAAGCTATTAAATTATGATAATTAATTTAAGAATTATTAATAAATCGATTGAAAAAAGATAATTTTGTATATTACAAATTTATAACTAAATAAACCTATAATTTCAAATATTAATTGATATATTTACTCAAAGAATTATGGGTACAATATAAGTTGATGGTGAGGTGTATATTTTCTAATGCTCACTTTATTACCAAGCGACACTAATATCTAAGGATTACATAAATAAAATAACAAATTTGTTAAATTTGATTATTCATATCATTTAATATATTATCTTATAATCTAAATGTTAATTATTTAAATTAATATAATGATACTTTTAATATAAAATTTATTTTTATGTTATAGATAGATACTATTTCCAAGAATATGCAAAAGAAGAAAAATTTTATTGCGGTACTGTTAGTATTATTCTCTCCCTTTGTAATAGAATACGATATTATAGGCTACAGAAAAGCCTCATTGTTATTTAAATATTCAGATGGTACATTTATTTTGATATTCACGTTACCAGATAGATTTCCAGACAAACAATTTTCAATGAATTTACATCCTGTACATTATATGCCAGATAAAGAAATATTTAATAGAAATATGATAGATTTTCCATATAATTCTAAATGGGAATCAGAAAATATGATCATTGAAGCAGTAAAATATATCTTTGAAAAATTAATTAAAAATGATTAAATGTAACTATCAAAATTTGAATCCTGTAACATAATTATATAATATATTTAGTTCCAGAACGTATTATTCAAAGAGTGTATATATATATGTATATACTAGAATTATATATTTATGCATATATAGTTATAATAGATTTATTTTTGTATACTTTAGCTTAAGTTGAAATATGTATGTATGGCATCGTAATAATTTATAGAAAGTGTTATGTAAAACGAAATTAGATGAGTAACAAAAATAATTATATATATACATATATAGTATATGCGTAATACATGGATAGGTAAGGATTAAATACAGCTTCGGTACCAATTTAAATTAGTGATAAAAATTAAAAATTATCTTGATATTTTATATAATTTTAAAACGAATAACACGATTTGGAAATAAAAGATTTTTAATAAATAATGTTAATTTCAGAAATATTTTCAAGAAGATTCTCATTCTTAATTTTAAATATATTTGAAGTTTTCTTATATTTTCATCCTAATCTTTAAAAGAATAAATTTCATAAATATTAAATATATTGTAATTTATATACTATTAAATTATAATCTGAAATATCAAAAATTCTTTAAGAAAAGTATATTAAAATTTATCCAATTCATTCCCTAGTTTATGTCACTAATATGAGACGTACACATTAAAATTTATTTTATATTGATTCAGGATATTTTTTTAATTAACATATTTAATAAGCATCTTTATAATAATTCAAAAATATGATGTTTTTTTTGTAAATTATTGTACGTTATGAAGTATTTTTAAGTATGTATTTCTTTCATCACAATTAAATTGAAATTTTTCAATCGTAAATTTCTATATCAAAGTAAATTAAAATCGTACTACATTTTATAAAATGAAATTATAAATAGTTTTTTATATGTATCTAATATAAACAATTTTTTTTAAGAAATATTTTGAACAAAAAATATTCACAAGATCATATGAAGTAATAAAAAAAAAAGATGAAATGTATTCAGTTTCATTGCATTTACATAACAATCTCTTGATGTTTATTAGCAAATTACGGTTGTGTAAATTTACGTATTTCATTCAAATGTTAATATATAGAACAATTTCCAGAATGTGTATATTTAAAAGTTATTTGGTGTCCATATTTCACATACAAATTACGTATCAATAGAGCTTTAATCTTTTGACTAATACTTTTAAAAAATGTTCTTTTTCTTTGTTATATATTTTTATGGCTCATATATTCAAAAAATATATATCCAAAATTTAAATTGATACAAATTATCAGACGTAAGAGTAGTTATATATTCGAATCTCTTGATTTTATTATTTAATTTTTGAAGGTAGAACTTTTTCGTAGATGTACAATATTATGCTATTTCAATAAGTATTCTAATTAAATTATTAAATAATGCTCATCAGATTTGTCGCTATTAAAAGCAAATACCAATATTCATAATTCTTTTTTATTTGCTAGTCATATAAAATTTTATTTTTAACCTAATCTGCTATCAATATTTAAAACTTCAAAGGCTTTTATATTCTATCTATAGTGTAAATAAATTATATAGCCTTTGTATTTGATTTTTAAGTTACTGTTTATATATATAAAAATAAATATAATTAAAATAGTAAATTTTTTAGTAGTTTGACTTTCTAAAAGACGATAGAAAGTTATCAAATTAAATTGTATAATTATTACTATACTTTTAATATATGTAAAAAACATAAATAAATACCTATTCTTATCTATTCTATATTCTCTACAGTCAAATAGCATTATCATCGATTGGATTTAAATCTCAAATAAAATTTAGAGAAATTAGTCGAATATAATTTTATTAGTTTAATAAGTTTCAAAATTATACAGGCTAATAAAACAATTAATAATTTTCAAGAGTAATTCATATGGAATTATGATAAAAAAAATTGTACTTGATAATATATATTTCGATTTTTTTAATACATTTTGTTATTTACAAACTTATATAATATAATTAAAAAACTTAATTTTAGAATATTGCCATAATATCATATTCATTGTAATCAGCATAAGTAAATTATAATTATTTTAAAAGAAAGGTATAACGCTATCAATATTATTAAAATTAAGCAAAATATAAAATCTTATTTGGGCACACTTGGAATTTTAAGCATTATCGCTCAGAGTATATTATTTAATTAAAATTAATTTATCCTAAATTTTTTTTTTATACTAAGGTATTAAAAAAAGATTGAATTTGTTGAAAAATTTATATCTGTGAATGATTTAAATTCAATGGTTTACTTAAAATTTTAATAAAGTTCATTTAAATTAATATAAATTACATAATATTTGTCTTAATTAAAATTTTTGTTTCTTCGAACGTTGTACTCAAATATAAAGATATTAAAATTTAAAAAATCATTATTCATTTTTATCTATATTTATTAAACTCAACCAATAAAAATTTAAAACGGCTATAATATGATTTTGAAATTGCGCATGCGCATCTTTAAACATTAATATTAAATAAGGTTTTATTTATAATTAAACTTATATTAATATTATTAATATACAGTTATTGCACCTTATTTTTTATTTAAATATGCATCTTTCGAAATATATACTATTAAACACATTTAAAATTGAAAACACCATTTCACTATATTAATATTCATAACAGTGGTCAATTATTAATATATATTTTTATTATACTTATAAAATGATTTGGACAAAATCTTTCCACATATGTATATTAATTTTCAATGCGCAATCGATTTTTATATAATTATTTAATCATTTAAAATAATAAGAAGTGTAAACTACAAGTGCTTAAACTATTTTAATGAAAATGTGCCATTATGAAATCACCTGCTGACTTTACTATGATGCTAAGAAAGTTTGGTGTCTCCCAAAAGTTAGTTAAAGTTATACGCAGAAAAATGTTATTTTTACATTAATTTATTTATATTTAATATAAAATTATCACATAGTTGCTAATAATGGAAAACTAATATTCATATTGCTACGCCAATAATAAAATATCATGTTCCATTTGAACTGAATCATAAATATAAAAAAGTTAGTTATAAATAGTATTATATGAAATTTTACAAATTAGTTTATAATGCTCAAGTTTATTAATTTAATTATGTAGTGAAGTTTTATAGCAAGTGATTTAAAAAATGTATGCTTTGTTTTATTGAATATAATAATAAATTTTAATGAGGTGAATGTCTTAAAAATAGTCAATATTTATGTTAATTAATACTTGTGATAAAAATGTATGATAATTTTCAAGAATATTGTAAATAATAGTGTTTTTAAGTAAATGTGAAAATATTGTGTTCAATAGTGCGTTGAAAAAAAGTTTAATATATATATATATATATACATTCATACACATGCATACATATATACATGCATACACATGTCTATACATGCATGCATGAATATATATATGCATGTCGTATGGGTATAATATCTATTATTGTGGATAATATAATAATTTGTGTAATTTAAAAAAGGATTGTATGCCTTGTATTATTTAAATAATTGAATCAAGTGAAGTTATTTTAATTAAGTATTATATACTATCAAGTATTGTTATAATATTAAACATTTTTAAAAACAATTACATAAATGAAATTAATTATTTTAAATCGAGTCAATGCTGTTAACAATAAATGCAGTTTAATTCTCAGTATATATAACAATGTTAATTACAGAAGAAAAAGAATAAAATAAATATTTTTTAATATAAATTTAAAAAATATAATTGTGTTTATGGTGGAATGATAAAAATAATAAGTTTAATAAATTAAACAAAATGACATCTAGAGGTTGTACAAAATCTTATAATCGCAAGATAAACAGTGTTATTACATCAAATAGTATTCAATTTGATAAACTTTTTCGAGAAAATAGTAATCGCCCTTCTGCTGCAAAATCAGCTGGAACAGTTGGAAAATGGGGAATAACATCGTTTACTTCTATACGTAGTACAAATATTAATGGTATTTATATTTATAATATTTATTGTTAATTTTTATTTATTATTATTTTTATATCTATAAAGCTATTTACAATTTCTTTAGTAAGTTATATACTTATATACATACATGTATATATGTAAGTACATAATTTTAAAGTGAATGTTTTGATTTCATTTTACAAATCAATGATATTTTCAAAAAGTTTGATAAAATTTCTTTCCATATATCTTTATTTGTTTGAAACAAAGTTAATAAGTATTAATATATAAATAGATAGATAAAAAATTTTATTTTAGGAATTTTGTTTTAATTATTGTGTTAAGTGCTAGGATTGAAAAAAAAACTAACCTGAAATTACAATTATCCATATATAAATTTATTTAATACCCATTGATTGAGCCACATAAAATTGACATTTAACCTAATTAGCAAAGTGGTAAATGATTATTTTACAATTTTTCTATATCTATTTTATATAATTTCAATATAAATACTTAGATTTCAAGATTCTGTTTTCCTTTTATTCAGTCCCTTTAAAATTATTTAAGAAAATATAAAATAATTGATTCAAATATTATTAAATTAATGTAACATAGTTTGTTATATGAACGTAAGAGAAAGATGTAATATACTTTGAAATAAATTTATTATTTCTGTGTTCAACAGTTTAATTTAATATTTTTGATCGATTTAGAATATGTCAACAGTGGTATATTATTTTTAATTAATAAAAATTTGTTTTTATTAATTAATCAAAAATAAAAATATATTAATAGTGATTGCTTTACCAAGAATTATAGTAATATTATTCTATTAGCTATTAATTTTACTATATACAGTTTATTTATAATTTTATAATAAAATGGATAATAGTTTACATGATTACCATGTATCCAAATATTATAGTTATAATATGAAATGACAAAATATAAAATAATTATGGAGTATATAAATAATATTTATTATTTTGTTTAATTATAATTTTAATTCAAAATTTAAATGATTGTTCTTGGACATTTATTCAATTTAAGTATTTAATACAGATTTAGAAAGTAAAATATAAAAGAATATAAACCATTATAATGGTATTAGGTCTTTAAAATTGTTTTTAAACATATATAATTTTAAAAAATTATTAATGTATTAAAATGTTTTATCTTGTTGTCTTTTTTATCTTTTAAATTTAAATTTAAATTTAAATTAATAATATAATTTAGTTCTTTATTATCAATAATGTAATGCGATCAATTACCAATTTTCATAAAAATTTATGAAATTTTATTAACAATTTATTAACAAATAGCTAAATATAACATTAAAATTCAATTAATTATTTATTTGAAACATTAAATTGTTTTATTGTATCATTTTTAGTTTGCATATATTTTTTATCTTAATTAAATAAAATGAATATTTCATGATTTTGTTTTAATTTGCATCTGTATATGAGATCTGTCGTAAGTAAATCAATGTATGTTTATTTTTAAATATATGTAGTGATTTATATTTAAATAGCTACAGTTCTTATATTTCCATTTGAATTATGGAATCTGTTTAAATAAAATATTTAAAAAATCTTTTAAATATACATACACCATTCTTCATCCATTTGCATATTAAAAATGTTTATAAGTTCATAATTTAAAAATAATTTGTTAAAATATGTTTACATCTTATCATTTTTGCATCAATATTATATGTTAAAAAGAGTGATTAATTATCTGTCTTGTCAACAAACGTAAGGTTCCTATTTCATAAAATTAAAAGTTATTAAAGTAATTTAATAATATTAATGACTAATAAATGCAAAGATATTATTATAACCTACATATATTAATTACTACATTAATAAGAATTATTTTAACTACAAAGAAATATTGTGTTTATGTACAAATATATATGAAGCATATTCCATAATCAATGTTCTACCATTACTGAACTGGATAAAAAGAAAAAATAATCATGCAGGCACCAATCATTTTTTTCTGATCTTTTTCGGTTTCGATTATTTATGGTGACGATTGACTTTGCAGTATTTCAAACCTTCGTTTTACAGTTAATTTTCTTAATTTTGTTGAAGAAATTTGTAATTACTATATTGCAGTTCTATTATAAAAAAATAATCATTTTTAAATTAAGATAATAAAAAAATTTTAAATATCTGTAGAATAATTTTTCATTTTATGCTTATAGTACTTTTTATTTTTTATTAAATTATTACTATTATAACCCATTTACTTCCATATGCATTTATAAAGTAGCTAGAAAATGCGCACTATGATTAATAGTGTAAAAAATTAGTACGAAGTATGATAAAGAAGGATATTTTCTTCTAAAATGCTTGTATTAAGAAATCATCGTGTCAAAAAAAGCAAAATACAAAGTAGTAAAGTAAATGCATAAGAAAAAAATAAGGTAAAATATACAGATGTTTGTTAGAAGAAATGTGACAGAATTTTTTGGGATAATCAACAAAGAATAGTGTATTTATTTCACTTTTACATATTTAATAATTATAAATGAATATCCTTATTTTATCTAGTAATTTTTATATTGATAATTTATATGAATCATTCAACAGATTTATACAATTTATGCTATTTAAATTTTAATGAATAATGAATAATTTAAATAATTTATTAAATTTTATAGGAAGACGCAGTATTGATGGACGAAACAATTATGGAACCAAACGGGCAAAGCTTGATTATGGAAATCAGAATGCCGACGAAAAGGATATTTTTTCGTATAATTTAAATGAAGAAAGTAATTTAGATGTTAACAAACCAAAAAAGTTTTTTAAAAGTAGAATTATAACATCGACGCTAGAAGAATCTCGGTCTGGTATTGAAATTTGTCAATCAATTTCTAATACTAATTTAAATCAAGATTCAGATGAAAAGTTGCGATTAAATGAAAAATCTTCTGTAAATATGAAAAAAAGTGATAATTCCCTTGATTCAGTTGTAGAAGCGTCTTATAGAGATGAAGGAAAGCCACCTATCGTTTTAAGAATATGTAAAGGTACAGCCAGACTAGTTTGTTCAGAAGAGGCTGATCATGAAAATTATCGAATTTTAACTACTTCACCAGATCCAAAAATAATTATTAATCAAAAAGTGAATTCGCAGTATTCAAAACCAGACATTAAGCCGAATCGTGTGACTAATTGTGAATCACCTATTATAACATCAGTGTGTACTTTAGATAAATCGGAAATGAGAACTACACGAAGTCGATCAAAAAATTTAAGACTCGATGTTTCTCCAAGTACTGTAAATTCATTAATTAATTCCCAAAATTCTGGCTTATCATTGACATTAAGAAAATCTGTAACTGATGCTAATAATACACTTGTTTCTCATTATGATATTGTAAAGACTGAATGCACTTCTACCTGTAGTAATAAAGTAAATGAAAATTTAGTAAATCATGATCAACTGTTGCCAACGACAACGCAAGAATTGATCGATATTTTATCCAATGATGTTGACCACACACAAAATAAATCATTTATTGATAATAAAATTATTACAAAAATTGAACAAGAGACAAATTATGAGAAAGATCATCTTGTAAAAGATACTACGCAAAAAATAGCTTTTAAAAATTTAGAAATTAATTCATTAGATGACGTTAATAAAAATGAACAAAAAGTTAACATAGAAACTGAGCAGCATATCAAACATGGATCTTGCAAAAGTGACTCATTAGTAATAAATAAAGATACTAAAAATGCTGTGAAAGCTTTGGAACAAGATTCATATTCCAGTAGTGATGAAAGTGAAAGTGCTAGTGGTAATTTACAGAGTGAAATTCAAAGTGAGTCTCCGTGCGTTTTATCTAATTCAGAGTCATCAATTATTTCAACAAAAAATATAAATAGTAAACCTACAGTTATTAAAAAAGGTAGCATTTTTAAAACTCGTTCTACTGGATCAACTAATGGTAATAAAAGGCGTGCTCTTTATAAACATAAGTGGTGTGACAGTGATAAAGAGTTAAAATCAGTCAACAATGATAATAGTAGGATTAATACTCCAAGTACTTCGTGTGCAACATTAAACGATCCAAATTTAGTTGCGTTCGATGAAGAATTTGAAAATGCCTCTTTAACACGAATTGTAACTTATCCTGAAACTGGAGTTGATTTATCAGTTGATATAGAATCTGCTGTTACAAGTATACGATGTGGTAAAAAAGTTAAAGGTGTAAGTAAAATAAGCAAAAATATTCTTGATGTAATAATAACAATTGATTCATGTTTGTTGTTATTAGTACTATTGTCATTTTTACAAGTGTTTAATATTTATTCTTGGTATTTAATATTTCACTAAAATGTGATGAAAACTTGATTTCATTAATAAAAATATTTCTTCAATATACGTAATGATATGTATAACAAATTATTTATTGAATAGATCTAATAAAGATATGCCAAAATTGTAATTGTGTATTAATATAGTTAAAAACATTTATAATTATGAAGTATAGTAAAGTATTTGTTTTTAAATGTTCAACAATTAATTTTGAAGTCACTTTGATAATAATTTAATTTTAAATTAAATGAAATTAAATACCTAATCTTAATGTTATTTCAATAATGATAAATTTTATCAACAAGAAAAAGTTATATTATTTATAAGATTTTGTTATCAAAATTTTGTAAAACAGTTGGTATATTTTGTGAATATGTGCACCCATTTTGATGCCTAATATTATATAGTGTTGGACAAATAATTTGTATTAATATTGCTTATTATCTTTTCGAATTTTGAACAGAAGTATTTTCATAACATTTCATATTACATCTTTAAACATATCATTGATCTTTCGCTATTTTACATAACACCATAAAATATTGTTAATTTCACAATTAATAACTTTTCAATTCTTAAAATATAAGAAATATTTTCTTGATGCTACCTTTTTCTATATTTCCAAGAATATAAAACATAAATATTTTATAGTTTCTTTTAATGAAATTGTCTTTATAAACTTGCAACACGGTGACAGTAGCTTTTGTTTCTCATATTTGTTATTATTTTTTTTTATATTTCTATCAATATAAGTATATATTTCATACTGTCTTTATGAATATTAACAATTATGCCATTAGTATTGCAATAAATGGTTTCTGCGTTAATAAGTGTTTTCGACCATATCAACAGTTTTTGAACAAATTTTCAAATTTTTTGGTTCAAATTTTCTTGTAGTATTATTGAAAATTCAAATCTTAATCTATCAAATTTTTAAATGTTAGTTTATTTAATTTCAAATTCATGAAGAGTAAACAATGTAGGCTTTCTGATTATTTCAAATTATATTTTTATAATAAAAAACTGTTTCAAATATATAATAATTATTTATTATACTTGCAACTATTGTATTTGATCTATAAAATGTATTTTGCATCTTTGTTATTTCAAATATAATTTATTAAATATTTACATTTTTTAATGATAACTGATTGAACTCTGTAATTATTTCTATTAATTATTAAAGTTAATTTAATTTCTTAAAAAATTTTATTCTTACATTACAAAATGTTATAAAAAATCGTTATACGTTATCAATACGTTTGTTATAAAAAAAACTCGAAATATATTCAAATTTCATACATTCATATATAATTGGTATAGTATTAATTGCCTTCCTAATATATAAATAAATTTTGTAACTAACATAAATGTGTATTTTTTTACAAGATTTAAGCTGGAAATTCTATATATGTTTATGACTTATTAAATTATAGCTGATGTGTATCTTTTACATATGTATTGATATTCTGAGCTATTCTCTGTAGTGTTATTTCTATTTAAATTTCGTAGGACAACAAGTGTATATATTTAGATTATTTATAAAAATACCAATTTTTAATTTATAAATACTATAAATATCTAACGTCTGATAAAATCTATTTAACAACATTTTTAACTATATAAAAAAAATTTTCTTTTCAGTTTTATACTGTTGTAAAAAATGTTAAGAAAGCGCATCAAATTCAAGAGAGTGGCGAGTTTCAAGAATTTAATGACGATGTTGAATATATTTTAGATACACTTAGAGAAAATAACCCTAATGCTACCCGTTGTTTATCAGCTATCCGACTTGCAAGTAAGTGCATGGCTCCTGCATTTCGAATGCACGTTCGGGCTCACGGAACCGTAGCTAAATTTTTTAAAGCTCTTCATGATGCGACTACTGATCAGGTAAAATATGCAATTAATCTTTTAGTTTGTTTTAGTTAACTAATTTTTTGTGACTATACGTAAATATAGGATTTTTTAAAATGAATTTTTTTCTAAAATTGATTTCATATATAAAACTAATGTTTTGTAATAAATAATTGAATCTAAAATTTATTTATTATTGTATGACTGAACGCATCTTATACTATTTCTGCATTACTTAAACATTGTAACTTAAATAACTAACGTTTGAATATCATTCAGGATAAATAAATATAGTATTAGAATTCCTTTACAGAAGAAATATTATAAATAGATTATATATATATATATATATGTATAAGTATTGTTATCTTTGGATAATATTATAAAATGGACAAAATTTTTAATTTTTTAAACATTAATAAATGCCTGTAGTAAAAAAATTTCTATAAAAATGTCTATGAAAAAATCAATTAATTAACCATTTAATATAGTTTAGTGGAAATGTGTTCTTTCTGTTTTAAAATTTCTGTCATAAAATTCTTACAAAACAAAAATATGCAATACAGTGAATGTGTACCTATACATTTTTCATTGAATTAATATTTTTAATATTTTTTAATTTACGGATGTACAGTAGAGTTCTAGAATTCTTCAAGCTGTAAAAGCTATCGAGATGACATTTTACCCTATAATGGTAGTTTATTCAATGGCGATTATTATACATACACTAAAGTATAAGTAACTGAAAACTTGCTCACAGGCACCATTTTAAATTTGAAACGTTTCATTTGATTTATTTCAAATTTTATCAACGCATTATAAACAATATAATTCATAAAAATACAATGTTATAAAATTTTGTAAATTTTTTATATTATTAATTATTGTTATCGTTCAGTAGTTAAATAGTTTTTAATTCCTTTAAGAAATGATGATTATTATTATAAAAAATAATATCTTGATTAATTTTACATTGAGATGCAGTATGGATTTTATGTTAACACGGTTGTTCATTGATATATTTATTTAATGCATAGAAATTGATCGTGTCACTCTATCATAACTACCAGTATATAACCTGAACCAGCTTCTCTCGTAAAACGATTGAATTGGCAAACAAACACTTCAATATTTTTTGTTTTTAAAACTATTACTCAATAATACTCGTTATCTAAATTGTTTTTAACTTGTTAGATATATGCATAAATGTAAACATTATTCATTATTTTGTTATTAATTCTATTTAATATAACATAAAAAATTATGCTTTAGTAAATAATATTGCTGTCATTGTAACCAATAATATTATCATCTTCACATATAATTCATATTTACAGAGTCTCGCATTATGTACTGCTACAGTGATGTTTGTATTAAGTCAAGATCGACTTGCAATGGATTTAGATAGAGATTGCCTTGAGTTAATGTTAAGTCTTCTTGAATCTGATGCCAGTCATAAAAATGCTTTAGATGATTGTGGGCTCAGTTATACCGAACTATTAAAAAATAAAGAGAAAGTACGTCAATTGTGTGCCGATATTCAAGGTCAAGGTCACGCGAAACATTTAAATTTAGATAATATTACTGTAAGTAATATAAATTTTATTTACAAAATTTTTACAATCTCCAAGAAGTTGCTATCTAATATTCGCTTAATATTTACATAAATTTAATTTTGTAATAAATTAAAATAAAATGGATTTATAATATTTTTACTAATAATGAAGTGATATTTATAATATAATATAGATTCATATTTTTAAATGATAAATATATTTATTTATTATTTACTAAATATTATTTATTTATTATATGAATGATATTAATAATCATATTAAGAGTGAATGAAAATTTTATATAGATAGTTTATCTTATCTGTATTTTTTATCTTGGTTTTATTGACAATTAATTGGATGGGTTGAAATGAATAAAACTAAAAATATAGCTTTGTAACTAAAATTGAGTTAAATAACAATTAGAAAATTGTTTAAAATAAAATTAAAATTTTTAGTTTTTTCAAGCAGGATTTAATTTAAACAACTGTAATATGAAACAAATATTAATATGATACAAATCCTGAACTTCGATATATAATTTGAAATTTTTAACTTAAAATATATGCCCTTTTGATATGTTACTTCAACTTGCAAGAATAATTTTATTTAAAAATGAGAATATTTATTTAATATATCAATTCTAAATAAATACAAATATCTTTTGTTGAGAAATACCCATAATTTATATATACGTAAAAGTAAAAGTAGATAAAAAAATTTTCTTGCAATCTGCACATTATTGTATTATATTTTATATATTCCAAATATTTAATATGGCACTTTAGTGATTTGAAAATCAACGATTAATATACAAGCTTCATATCATTACAGTACCATGTAATTGTGATAAAACTTCACTAGGAGACGCAATATATGTTCTTCAATTTCTATTACAGCGTATATAAAGCAGACAATGATTTTTGCACTATTATTGTTTAATTATACCCTCATTTTATTCAATTGTTTAAAAAAGACATATGAAACTCGAAAACATTTATCATAATAAAATAATATTATTCAATGACCTATATGTTCTTGGGATTGAATTTCATTATTTGATTGAATTTGATTGAATTTTATTATTGCAGAAAAAACTAGATATATCATAAATTATTGAAAATTTGGTATTTGGTAAAAAATAAAAACTAAATTTTAAATCTAAATCTTAAACGGTTAACAAATTAGTAAAATTAATTTCATCAAAAGTTTAAAAATACGAAGAAAAACTATGTTTATTATAACATTAATAAAATAAAAATTTGTATAATTTGTATAGAAAAATTAAACAAAGTTCAATAAAAAAATTTCAGTGAAATATAGATTTGCAAAATATATATCATTTTGGTCACATGAAAATTAGAAAAATTGCAGTTTTTCTAATAAAAATTATATAAATACGCAAACTAAAGTCCATCTTCGCGAAATTTTTAAACATATTGTTATGCTGATTATTTATATATAAAAAAGAAATTCAGATTATATTTTAATACTTATAAACCGTAATATATTGAAATTTGGAACATTAGAAGCTATTTAAAAATGCCGTTTAAAATATATATTGCTGAAAAAAGAATATAATACTTCCATAAGACCGGGGTAATAGAAAATATATAACTGTTTTAAAAGCAGTTATCTTTATTAAAAATGCACATTGAATATTTTTAACAGTAAGTGAAAACTGAAATACAGTTTAAAATAATAAAAGAAAAAGTTTGAATGAAAAAAATTTACAGCAATCTATAGAAATAGAAACTATATTAATAATTTATTTTTATAAAATCGTTGAATAAACTAACGCCTAAATCTGAATGATTTTGGTCTAAATTGACTGCATTGCTTATAAATATTACCAATAGATAATTTAAAATAGGAAAAATTAATTTATAGATTTAAAAAATGAAAAATTACCTTTAATTGTAATGCTTGTTTAAATGATTGTTTAATTCCCTAAATAATGTAAGTATTACAATATTTCAAATGTTATGGGCATAAATTGATGAAAGAAAGGTTAAAAAACAATATATCGAATGAATATAATAAGTAGGAATTGTGATTAAGAAAGAATTTTTTCATTATAAAAAAAATTATGTATTGTAATTACTATACAGTAAGCTATACTATAAGTACTAAATGTATAAGTGAACTTGGATATAGTTTTTATTTCTAATTAAATAAGTGATTTATTATTTAATTTGAATTAAATTTTTTTTTCATTATAAAGTATTAAATAAAATACTCTACAATTTAGAATATTCCTGTTTCATATCTATTATCTCCGAACATAATAGATTTTCTTCTAACAAATAAAATTATTCTACATAAAAATAAATTTTAAAATGTTGACAATTGATTAAATAGTTAGTTTTTTACGGTATCCCAATAACAATAGTTTCACTATACGATATAAAATAATGCAACAATTTACAATCGTTTATTTTTGTTTTTGTCATAACCGTTCTTGCTATTATCTGCGTACCTTCGTTAGAGTTCCCCCATTTACTGTTAAAATACTTGAATTCCTACGTCAAGCAATTGTTGAAGACTTGCTGTCTTTATATTCGCTATACTGAAAACTTGCACGTGCTACATGCTTAATAGGCACAATTATTGACAAAAGTTTAGAATACATATATCGAACAAGTGAATAAGAAAGAGGATAACGTCAGTTATATTAGTCAATTACGTATTCATATATCTCCTACTAATCAGATTATTCTAAAAGTTATCATTAATTTTTTTACAAATTTAAATAAGTACATTGAAAAATTTCTGCAATTTTTCTCCAGGAAAAAAAATATAAATGTGTATATGTATAAATACACACTTTCTTTGCCTGATAAATATGTAAAAAAACTTTCAAAACATAAACTAACGCTTTTAAATTTAACATGTTATTAAGATAAAAATTTTTTTTTCTTCTAAAATATAATAGAAACATAATTTTACAAGCATAACAAATAATAGTATTACCGTAATAACTGCTGCTTTCACGAATAAAAGAATTTTAATCATCAAATAAAACTCCTGTCATTGTTACACTTATAATAATTTTTTGACATTATCAATTTATTAATAACACATAAAAGAATTTTTTCATGGTAACATAAGAAAACTAAAATATCTCTTTGATAATTAGTTTAATGTTAATATTTAAATTTATAGGTTGGACAATTGGCAATGGAAACATTACTTAGTTTAACATCTAAACGAGCTGGGGAGTGGTTTAAAGAAGAACTAAGAGAGCTCGGAGGTTTAGAACACATTATTAAAACAATTACAGAATGTCATCGCCATATCAAATCTTCCGATATTTCACATACTGGATGGGACGAGCCATTGTTAGATAAATTAAGAAAAGTTGACAGATGTTTAAGAGTATTAGAAAATGTATGAACATTGATCTATTTTAAATATATAAATTTACAATAGAATTAAAATGATTTTGTTTAATTAGGTAACCCATATGAACGAAGAAAACCAAGTGTACTTGTTAAAATATAATGATAGTATTTTAGTAATCACGTTGGCTAGTCTTTATAATTTTTGTGGAGAAGAAATTTTAAAATATCCCACTGATGATTGTAGTGATAAAACGTCAAATGGAGCAGTAATTAGAGAATGTTTATTTGCAGTTGTCAAAGTTCTTATCAACTTAACCCATCGTTTTAACAGACAATGTAAGATATAATTTATTAATATTAAAGCAATACATTTATATAATAATTAATTTTTTATGTAATCCACTTTAAAATTCACTTTGTATCAATACTCATTATAAAATGTCAAATATTAAAATTGTGTTTATTTGTAAAATATAACATTTATGTAAAATGAATTCGATAAAGGAAAAGGGACATAAAATAGCTTTTTTATAATGCTTTTTTTGTGTTTATTTATTGAATTTTACTTAAAATATTTATAACAATAAATATATTAAATAATATTTTATCTTTTCATATAATTAATCTAGAAATTTGAAATATTTTTCTTATAAAACTATACTATGTGAATATTTAAATATTTAATATTTAATATAAAATTAAAAATTATTAGTCGTTACTATTTACTCATCTATATGTTTATAAATAAATATATAAATTGTATAATACCCCCCCCCTATATTGGAACTAATATATTAAAACATTATTAATGATTCGAATTGACCTTTTTTATTTGTTACTAACGACCGCTGTAATTAAAATTGGTATTTTAATAAGATATTTTAGCATTACCTCGTAGATTTATTATAGTAGTAGTCTAACAGAGATTAAATTATAGATCAATAAGCTGTGCTGTTAGAATACTTATAGATTTTGAAGAAAAAAAATTATCTATATTCTACAATTAATTATTTGAAAATGGTGTGTGAAGAATTACTAAAGAACTGGGGTATAGTGAGACAATTTTTAAACATCTGCAAACTGAAGACACTATGACAAAAGTCGATCTATCTTAATTATAGAATACACAAATTTTATTAAATCAGTTTTTATAACATTTTATTGGTTGATAAAACCTTATATTCAGGACAAATAAAGAGAAATATATTGAGAGAGAACAATATTACGATGCAGTTGTTGAAAAAAAATTTATTGATAAATTAATTTCGTATTGATCATCATTTAATAAATATGCATTAAATACCACTAGTGACAATATTCATAAAATAAAATAAAGAGAAAGAATTATAAAAATAATTAAACAAGTTCCAACAAATTAAAGACTGCTTTATAAATATATTAGAAATATTTAAAATAGAAGTTATAGCTAATGTTTTAATATGGCTACATCGAGGATTTGTAATAAGAATTTTATGTTTTTTATAAATATAATGAGTGATTGGTACATTTCTAAGAAAAAAAACCATACATTTTCAAGCATTTATATTTTCATTTACTATATTAACAAGGTGATATACATTGATTTATGACTTGTTACGACATATATATTTATATATATATTATTAATAAATTTTATTTCTTTTCATTCTTCTAATTTTTTATGATTATGAATAATTGCATTACATTTTGTAAAAGTAATATTTAAAATAAATAAGATTAACGTATATATATATATATATATATATATATATATATATATATATATATTGATATTGATTGAATTATATATGTTATTTAATAAGTTTAATATAAGAAAAGGAATAATATAGTATTTCAATTGTTATATTCTATCAATGATATATATTTAAAGCTAGCATTTATATTAATCAAGTACAAACCTCCACATTTTATTTTATATATAAATGATTATTAAAATCTTTTGATAATTAAAATTTGTGTAAAGATTATTATTAATGATCTTATTTAATAGCTTTTACATTTAACTAATTGGAACTATTATTTTTTATAACATCTTTCTTTAATTTCTCTCATATTTTACATGGTATGCAGTAAGTTAGGACTTACTTAAGGAAACTTATTCAAATGAAACTTTTATTTTTTTTTTTTTAAATTAGTGCTATTTAATAAGTTTTAATTATATAAATAGTTAACATTAACTATAGTTGGATTCATCAATTTCATTCCTATCATTAGATATTTATTACAAAATTAAAGTTCTCGATATAACACTATTGGTTCCAGAACTGAAGTCATTTTCAATTATGTAATATTAAAATTAAAACTAATAATAAAATTTCTGTTTATAAAATTATTTTGTGAGCTACTACTCTTTATTTATCAAATTCTCGTGGATTTATTCCAAAAACTTTTTGATGTGTTCATATCATTTAATAATTATATTATTCTAAATAATCCCTCATCCATTGTTTGGACATATAAAAATTATAAAGTTAGCATTTAATAATTTAATTTTTTTAATAAGCCTAGAATTATTTTACTAATGAACTAGCATAGATCTTCAAATTTATGCATATTTGTACAACTATTGCAATTGAAAATCAGTTCTAGTATGTTATCCATGTTAAGGCTTTTCCTAACTTCAATTTGGGGGACGGAATTAATATTCATCATAACAATTCCGATAACAATTTTGATTTTTTTCAAGATTTGCGAAGATTTAACGTTATGTCCATAACATAATCAAAACTTATAAAAAATGATCAAACGTTCACATTTTATTTTAATATAATAAACAATAAATATAATATCTATATTATTTCAGCTGTTGGTGGAAAAACTGTGGGTCACCAAAATAAAGTAATTGATAATAGTTTACATCTTATATTACGAGTACCACAATTTCTTCCAGAAGAAAAGCAATTTGATATTATGATGTTAGCGTTAATTCTTCTTATAAATTTGATAGAACAATGTGAAGATAATAAAAAATTGCTTATAATGTCAAAAACATTTTCAGCTAACCAAGGTACACATTCATATTAAATATCTTATTTAATTTGTTCTTATTTAGTGATTATAATTTAAAATAAATATTGAATTTTAAACTGAAAAAAAAAATTTTTAATTTGACATTCAAAATTGTATTTTAATAATGGGCAAATACTTGATTTTATAAAATTTATTGTTTTTATTAACTATTTATTTATTTAAAATATGTATTTTTAAATTTAAATAAAAAATTGTTTTAGGAGAAGAAACTGGTTTAGATGCATTAATTAATCTTTTTTATAAACAAGAAGAACTTGCTCGTGTAGAAGAGCAAAAAACTGACGCAATTTTAGATGGAAAAAAAGATTGTGAACAGTCAGAAATGGTTTCTACAACATCTAAGTCTCAGGAAGAATTTATTGAAGAAACCGTTGCAAAACGTAAAAATTATTACTGTTAATCTAATTATTTATATTAATAAGAATATAAGAACTGTTGTCAATAATTTTTATGACAGTTTTACAGAAAGCTGGACGACACATGGAACATACATTAATAGGTGCATACGTAGTACTTTTACTTGGATACTTAGTCATGGATAATAAAGTAAGTTAAAGATTACTATTTATTTATTTATTTTTATTTTAATATAAACATAATTGGTTTTTTAATTATAAATAATTTCATATAGTAGCTGAAAATATTTTTAATAATAACATTGATACACTTAAGAGAGTATATCAAGATAATCTCAATTCATAATATTCATATAAAAAAATTTAAATAGTTATGATTATTAGTAAAATATTCATATGCTCAACTTTATAGATATTTTATATTCAATTATTTAATGTTTATTTATTAAACCCATGACTTTATAACAAATTTATATTACCTAATTATAATTGGAGTGTATAAAATAATAACTTAGATAAATGAAAGTATTATAATTATTTTTATAAAAAATCTAAGTAATTAAATAATAAAAGTACAACCAAACTCTTTAACATTATAAGTTGTAATATATAATTTATTAGATTTTGTTATTGTAGGATTTTAATTTTAAAATTACAGTATGAAATGTATTAAAATACTTTCATGAACTAGATTAGGCTGCGATCATTCTGGAAGGATTAAATAAATTTATATATATATATATATATATATATGTATATGACATGAATTTATAGTTGTCTTTTACGTAATGTTAAAGTATTAAACACATTTTTGTGTATATATTTAAATGCACAGATAATTTATTAAAAATAAATTAAAGTACATTATCAGTAATTTTCAAATCATTAAGATATAAACTATTTAAATGATCTAGTATGCCCTTAATAGACTTTGTAGATTAGATTTTTATAATAAAGTAAGTTTTCAGTATTACTAATCATTAAAAGAGATTTGAATGATTAGTGAGCGATAGATATAGCTATTTGAAAACAGTTGAACCAAATTATTATTAAAATATACATATTTATATAATTAAATATAAGATTACGTCAATAATCATTATTATTTATCTATATCTATATATTTTTTAGATTTATGAAAATCTTGTTCGTAAAAGATTGCCAGATGACACTTTCGTAACAATGGTCGCTGTGCTTCAAAAATTTTTCAATTTTATGAATCTTACAGCATCGGTAAGTAATAATACATTATATCAAAGATTATGTTTTCCTTTAAATAATATATATATGTTTTTTGTAGAATGAAATTAGTAGTTGCGGAATTGCTGCCACGGAAAAAGTTATTAAGTTCCTAAAAATGTCCGATGCCAGACTTACAGATGATAACATTGATTTGAAATTGGTTTTGGAGGACGTAAATATCACGTTAGACCACAGTTCGTCCTAATTAAATAAAGAAATATTCATAAATCTTATTTTTTGAACCAAAGCCATGCATATAAATATTTATCGAATAACATTTTTATAACTACATAGATAATCATAGTAAAGTAAAATAGAAACTTTACAATCTAACATAATGTAGTACAATGACAATATTTTTCTTTTATTGTAATGTACTTTCTAAAATCTTTTATTCGTTAATGAGTATAAAATTTAAGTTATTTTAATTTACTGTCATATTAGTATTATTTTTAAATATCTTAATTATTGAATATTTTCAAAATGTTATATATATTGATACACAACTAAAATTTATAGATTAATTTTATTAAATTATAATAAAATTAAATAAATTTTTAAATAATTAAATTTTATTTTTTGTATTAATTAAATAGAATTTATAAACTATTAATTTAAATAATTAATCTAATGAATCTGAGTTTTCATATTATATTTTATAAGATTTATACATACAAATTATAATAAATAGAATATTTAAGAATTAAAAAGAATTTTACTTATGTAGGAATAAATTTGTGTGTATGGGCGTGTGTGCGCGCGTGTTGTGTTGTGTTGTGTGTGTGTGCGCGCGCGTGTTGTGTTATGTGTGTGTGTGTGTGTGTGTGTTTGAGTGTATAGCAACAAAACAAATTACAATTTATAATATTCGCATTTGTTGAAATTTAATAAAAAAACTAATGTTTTGATTATGTCCTCAAAATGCTTCTATTTTACAAGTGATTGGAAATAAAAACAAGCACATGATTTCAGATGGATATTAAAGACACTTTTTAATTATGCTATAATTATTATAAGAAATTAGTATTACGATGAAACATAAAGAAAAGTGACAAATAACAATTAGCAAAAATCAATATTCATTTTATAAATAAAGGTATATAAAACATTACTAGGCATTTTAACTAAAAATGGTTATAGAAAGTCATTTACTTAAACTTTTAAGCAGATAAATTCCGCATTATTTCAAACATATTTTTATTTTTTACTTAAGTTTTTATTTAATAAAATTAATATATACTAAATTATTCAATATAATTAAAGTTATTTTGTTTTATCTGTGAAAAAAATTAGACATCCAATACAGAATAGATTTATAGTTAATATCAGAAGTATACAATCGAATGGATGATCGATTAAAAATACTGTCTGAAAACAATAATCACAATAATTTAATTTAATTAATGCCTTTTTAAATGAAAAATTAAGAAAGATTTATATTATTCGTGAGATAGAGGCAATTTGCTAATCAATTCGGGTTATGCTTCAAATGTAGATTCAAGTACTAAAAGCAATAAAATAACATTTTGATGTAGTTTACAATTAGACTTTGTATAAAGATCCTGTGATCCCTTTCTTAAAATGTATGAAATACAAATGCGAATAATTAATTTGATATGGTTTAATTTTATACAAATATTTTCATTTTTGCAATTTTCAAATAAGATAAATGTAAAATACACAATGAATTTTCTATTAAAAAAAGAAATAAATAAAGTATAATTTTGGTATAATATTATCTTATTATGTTGGAATGCGGAAAAATAAAATTTTATAAAATGGAAATAAAAATATTTATAATATTAATTCATAAATACCTGTTAAATAACAAAATAATGTTGTTTTTATGTTAAATAACAAGTTTTTATTAAATAAATATTTGAAGATAAATTATATTAAATATATACAGAATTAAGATGATTACGAAATATACATTTATATACATTTTTTTTAATTCATTCTATTAAGCGGAAAATTTAATGACATGCTTTTTAAAAAAAATGAATTTCAGTTTTCATAAATAAATTTTAATATTAATTATTAAAAATATATATTGTAGTTAGTTATACAAAAATATTAGCCTGCGCCAGATAAATGTATATATTAAACAAATAGTACGCTAATATTTTTGTTTATCTCTGCCTTGCAATAATCCGATTAGTTTACTAGTTTACAGAAGGTACCAATGTAAGTAACCAATGAAGGTAGCGCTTGTTTGATTCTAAAACATACAGTTAACTTTTGTTCACTCCTAACGAACTAATTGTGTTGTTGATCATTTGTATTTATTATTTTTCCGACTTTTATAATTCGTTATAATTGTCATGTATAAAGTAATGATAAATTAAAGCACATTATATATAAATCTTTAATATTGTCTTATACAATATTTTGATGGCTGCTGAATCTTGTATGATTATTATGTTATATCTATTTTATCAAAAATGCTTGTGGATTAAATAAAAGTATAAGAAAATTGAAATAGAAAGTATATTGTTACTTAGTTCAGAGACCTCCAGATAATTAATTATAATTTACGATGTTTTTATTTTGATTATGGTGTAATTTGTACTTTAAAAGTGTCATTAAAAATATAAATAATTATAACACTCTTGCATTTCGCAAAGTGAGCGCTGTCGCCAATTTAAAATTTTTTTTAATACAATGTATATTGTAAGTTTTGAAATTGATTGCTACAATTAACATTATTATATCCATATAAAGAATTGAACTAACATTGTAAAGCACTAATAATATTCACTATTTATTTTTCAGTATTCATAAAAGTTATCAAAAATAATAAAAACGAATTAAATGCAATATTTATTTATTTGATGTCAGTAATAAAAATACATAAAATATGTTTTTCGATATTTATTTTACGTTTTACTTACTAATATGTATAATTTTTAAATTAGTCAATTTTTCTCCTTGTATTATTTATCCTTTAATGATCGTTCAATTTCAGTACCTTAAGTTTTCAATAATGTAAAATATCGTATAATTTAATATTATTAAAGCAACTATTATCTTTTCATTCCAAATTCACATACAGTCAATGAAAACAAACAGATTTAACCGAAACAATCCGAGATTTATCCACTGATCGATATGTTTTTGTTCATGCAGTTGGTATCTTTTATGCTTATTGGTAATGATTAATATTCATTTAGATACAAGATTTTTATGGTTGTGTTCATTTTATAAGAACTAACTTTTAAGGTGAGAATTAATTGTATGGACAAAATAGTTTTTACCTTCTCTTCCCAAAATGTCCTGTAACATGGGGCAGTTGTTTTATACATTGCAAAAATCGCTGTTAATCATTGTGCATAATCCCTACTTGATAAAACAAAACATTGTTTCAAAATTAAATTTCCTGATATGTGATCTTATTATTGTATATATTATTTATCTAAAAAACTATAAGTCCTTCATATTTCTTATATATCGTTATCAAAAGTGCGACAGTTTAATTTAATATTTGTTCAATATCATAAGTTAACAACTACTTTGTATTATTATGAAATATGTCTTATTTTCAATAATGAATTTTCTTTTTTAACTAACGGTACAATTTGGTATGGTTAAATAAGTAGTTATATAAATCTGTGTCAACTTTCTTCACTTTGATTCATTATTCACTGGATATCTTAAATATATTCTTAAATTCAATAAATTGCGTAACCGTGTCATTAATGACTGCTAAATCACATTTAAAAATTCTAAAATAAAACCGCTTTAATAAATATATATCGTTTCCCATGATATTATACAGTTAAAAATCACGATTTTGCTCAACTGTAAAAATTTCTTTTATATTACTAATAACCAACAATGTTACAGATATACCATATAAATTTCAGTTGTTTACATTTTGGCTTGTTAGATTTTAAACATCAAACCAAACAATTTAGCGGTTACTAAATATCTTTGAGGAATATTCTGATCAATAAATGATTATGCAATAAACAATTTCAGATATTAAAATATTATGCTGACAAGATTGTCATTTTAGTTAAAGATTTGTTCAGATGTTTTTAGCATAAATACATGTTCATATCTGTTGATATATAGCTTCAAAAGTTTTCTTTTATATTGAAAATTTTTCATGTTGTACTATTCATAACAAAGTTTTTCTTTGCTCTATTTATTTATTAAAAAGTTTTTTAATTTTATTACTTAAATTTTATTATTTAAACTTTTTCTTTCTGTTGTATTTCTAAACTATTCTTGAGTATATTTAATAATATAAAAGAATTTATTATTAATTTAAGACTATTTATTTTGTAAGTTTATTTTCTATTTGAGGCTATTTATATTTACTTTAGAACTTTTTTAATTTTATATTTTAATCAAAATATTTTTCTAACTGTATAATCCGTTTAATTATATGTACTATAGAAGAGTTTTTCATTTTTATTTAAAACCGTACGAACAAGCTATTTTCAAATTACATATTTTTCTTAAATTTATCATTGTACATACTTTTCTTTAATTAAGTAACTACTGTAAAGACGCCGCGTGGCCACATTTTCGACAACATAAGCTCATTCGTAAAATTACTTCGCTCTCCATCAAGCGTAACTGCCGGTCAGTGCATAGTATACTGTAAAGACGCCGCGTGGCCACATTTTCGACAACATAAGCTCATTCGTAAAATTACTTCGCTCTCCATCAAGCGTAACTGCCGGTCAGTGCATAGTATACTGTAAAGACGCCGCGTGGCCACATTTTCGACAACATAAGCTCATTCGTAAAATTACTTCGCTCTCCATCAAGCGTAACTGCCGGTCAGTGCATAGTATACTGTAAAGACGCCGCGTGGCCACATTTTCGACAACATAAGCTCATTCGTAAAATTACTTCGCTCTCCATCAAGCGTAACTGCCGGTCAGTGCATAGTATACTGTAAAGACGCCGCGTGGCCACATTTTCGACAACATAAGCTCATTCGTAAAATTACTTCGCTCTCCATCAAGCGTAACTGCCGGTCAGTGCATAGTATACTGTAAAGACGCCGCGTGGCCACATTTTCGACAACATAAGCTCATTCGTAAAATTACTTCGCTCTCCATCAAGCGTAACTGCCGGTCAGTGCATAGTATACTGTAAAGACGCCGCGTGGCCACATTTTCGGCAGCATAGTAAAGAGTACCCGCGTGCATAGAAAAGATAATCGGCAATTCTTTAATAAGTGATTACAGTGAAGCCAATGGAATTGTAATCAAGGGAAACATTACATACACAGCATCGAATCCATCCAACCTGCAGTTCACCAGGTACATCTTTATATTAATAAATAAACAAGTCACATCTCTCTCTATTGTCGATCGGGCACACTTACGCTCTCTCGAACTGATCCCTCGACATCGTACAGGCCCGCTAGCACAAACAGGGCACACTAGCGCTCGTCCGAAGAACACTTCGGAGCCGTGCAGGCCCTGAACAGCTGACGCAAGAGTCACTGTGGTTCACACACATTGGTGACACATGACCAACACAGATCGACTAATAGACTCTACAGATACGGATTATCAAATCCTCCACGAATTAGAAATACTACTTCTAATTGTTTTTCCTGTGACTAGATTCTACTGCTGTCCCCTTTACATAATTAAAGACATAATTGATTACATAATAAATTCCATTTAAGATCTGACACCACATCAAGTATAGCTGTTCATCAATCAAGCATACTTGATTCAACTACCATCTTCTCATGCTGCCTCACAAGCATGATTGACTGACGACATCAGCTGACATTGACAACATCAGCATAACCTCAAAGCAACACAGTAATATCCATAGACGCTTTCATAGCATAAGAATTACAAGAACACATCTTTTGAATAATCCAACAGAATTATTTATTTCTACACAACAGTGCAATATTATTATAATTGTTTACACTCATTAAACCTTGTTTTAAAATAAATATATTATATTTTTCAGCCTTGTCCGTTATTGATTTCCTTTAAAATTATTCTGCCGAGAGACTAATCCACTGAACTATTGAATTGGCAGTTCGAGCCATAAGCTAACCCTTTAAATCCGAACACTAATACAATAATTTTCTTTTCAATTGAATCTCTATTTTCGATTGAAGTTATTTGATTTCAATCAACTTTTCAAAAGTCTCGAGAATTACATTCCTTTTTGTTATTTAAACCATTTTTTTTAATTTATTTTTATTTTCGTGTTTTTTACCATACATACTTTTATAAGTTTATTTGAAATTAGCAGCTACGTGTTTCTATCTTAACTATTTTACATGATATTTTATGTAAAAGAGTTTCTTCTATTTATGTGCTATAGTTAAGATTTACGATTTTGTCCCAACCGTATTAATGATATCTTTCTTGAGAAAACTTTTCTTATTCACTTTTAATATTAATTCGAAAACTTTTTTCAGTTATGTTCGTCTTGAACTATTTTTTCCTTTATTGAGATAATTTTTCAAAATTTATTTTCTATTGATTTATCAATTTATTTAAATTTATTTCTAGTCACATCTTATTTGTGATTCATCGTTATTTTGTGCAGTTATTTATCAAAAACTAATAATATATGTCTGATAAATAAACATTGAAAATCTATTCAAATATGAGCAGATATATTTAATAAAAAAGTTAAAGATTCGAAAAAATATTTTAAAACCAGTTGTTACGGATTGCAGTAGTTTCTAAGCGGAATAAATAGTGGGATAGGTATAAGCACGAGCATTTGTTTTGTAAAAACTGACTAACGAATTCAAAGAATGCTTATAACAGAAAAACTCTAATATACTACTATAATTCCAAAAGTAATAACAAATGAACTCTACGAGGCTATGCCCTGTTTACGTCACGACAAATGTCGGCATAGCAACGATCACCTATGCAATTTCAACGCAGCTTGTTTATACGAGAATATTTAAGGAGCTGCACATGACGGTCTCGTCCTCTTAATAGTTCGATCAAGCAATCATCAAGATCAAATTATTGTTCTACAAGTCAACGCCGTTTACACAGAGATCGCCTTCAATTCACACAAATCGCCTTCTTACAAGTCAAATACCACTTACATAGAGGTCACATCCAATACACAACGATCTATCTCCACACACGTCCTTACGTACCATCAAAACTGAAATCAACTCCACACACGTAAGCTACGCTATTACACATGTTCTTACGAATCACTAAGACACGACTCCGTGAACTAAGTAAGCATCAATACCAAAACCACGGCATCATTGCCATTCATCAGTGACGTCATACACCAGCGCCCCACTCAATCATCTCCAGCTCATCGGTAGCGGCAACTACAGCATTAATTCTCCTCAACAGTGACGTCGTACACCATCGCCCCACACAGGCCTCTCCAGTTCATCGGTAGCGGCAACGGCAGCATCAATTCTTCTCACCAGTGACGTTGCACATCAACGCCACCACCCAGGTCTCTCCAGAGTATCGGTAGCGGCAATCGGTGGCGTCAATCACGCACCATACCACAAGAATACACTTATAAGATTATCATCACTTACACTATCTGAAGAAACTCTCACCTATTTATTCTATCATACACTCATTCCATATTCATAGATTATTAACTATTCATTATTTATTATATTCAATAAAAGGGAAAATCAACTCATATAAAGGCAGTATTAATTTATTGCATTGTCCATTCCACTTGCTAGCAAGCCTCCCTTCACCATCTCAGGGAAGCGTTTTTAGTCTGATCTCAGACATTTTGGTCCTTCGAGCCGGATAAGTGGAAATCATTGCATACATCAAATACTACCAGTCGTAAGGATAATAGTACTGTTCGCAGATCATTGACTACGAGAGAGATTCTTCATCACTGTAAGTAAACCCTATCGCTTCATCATATCAACATGTCTACACAGGACAAAAAGGAAATTAAGGAGTCAGTAAGTGTCACTACGCGCAGCGCGAACAAAGAAAAATTGACTGGTGAACTAATTATGACTGCCCAATCACAATGAGCCTGCATCAAGACCATGCAAAGACTGATTGACAGCCTTAATGCAGACAGAGCAACTATAAGCCTGCCCGAAGTATTAGCAGTGAAAAATAAAATCGACGAGACACACAACAACTTCATGATGGATCACAAATCCATAGTAATTAGCTGGCCAGTGTCAGGCGCAACACACGAGTACTTCACAAAGAACGCCATGACAGAAGAGTCCATCTGGCACACCAAAGCCATGGCATTAATCATGAAATTGTCTCAAGAACTAGGGGCGACAACCACCAGCACACCAAGTACTTTAAGTGCCGATGACGGGATACTGCCAGCAGGAGCACGTGGAGTAACGTATCTCCAAGATATCCCTATTCCCAAATTCGATGGAAACTATCTTGCATGGCCCGCCTTCAGAGACTTGTTTCAATCCTTAATACTTAAAAGCACTAAATTAAGCGAAGTTCAAAAGTTATACAACCTGCGGAACTTTCTGCAAGAAACACCCGCAGAATTAATATCAGATATGTCTCTACAAAACGAGTCGTTAGAACCAGCTTGGCAAATATTACTAAAAAAATACGATTCACCACGATTCGCTCTGAAGGCGCTCATTACACAAGCTATCACCATCTCGTCATCAAGAATAAAAGGAACCCGGGAAATGTCAACACTAATGAGCAAAACACGCAGCCTACGAAGATCACTAAAGCATCATAATGCCACAAACGTATGGGACGCACTACTACTACATGTGACATTACTACAATTAGACGAACAAATAGTAACAGACTGGGAAGAAACACTAGAAGACAATTCATATCTAATGTTTGAAAAATTTGATCAATTTGTAATGACAAGACTGGAAGCACTAGAAAACGTGACAATGATAAACACACAAGGAATCCAATCGCCAACAAAACAAGATCAGCATCATACACCAAAAAAAAAGATTCGTAAGAATGTGCCAATCATCCTCCACACACGATTCATCAAGTTGGACTAACAGGACAGACTCAATCCTAGAATGCTTCTACTGCAAGGAACAGCACCCCAATTGGACATGCAGCAAATTCAAGCAGCTCACTCCCTCTCAAAGACTGGACACAATTAAAGCAAAAGGGTGATGCCATAATTGCCTGGGCAATTATCTGCTAAGGCCATGCACAAGCAAAAAACGATGTTACATATGCCACGAGGGACACCACTCATTACTACATGAAGTACCAGACACCACATCAACCAACGTTCAATCACTACACACCACATGACTAGACAAACCACAAACCAGTCTAATCGGGCGCCAACAACCAATCACATTATTAGCCACTGATGTAGCCAAGGTGATCATACAATCAACAACACAATAAGCCCGGCTGCTCATAGACACTGGTTCCGAAATCACACTCATTACGGAAAGATTGGCACGACATCTTCATGTGAAACCTAGAATGTCAAAAATACTTGTACACGGAATCGGCAGGACTTCACCAATACAACCACTAGGGACCATCACCTTCACTATACAATCATTGCGGTCAAAGGAATCAATTATTGTACATGCTCACATACTCAAATCCCTATCCATACTTCTACCTCCTCATGTCCACCCACAATGCACATGGCCTCATATCGAGGGATTGCCATTAGCCGATAAAAATTACGCCAAGGCCAGACCGGCAGACATCGTGTTGGGAGCCGATTCATATGGACAAGTAATGAAACACAACATTATCAAGTCCTCACCACACCTACCTATAGCACAACTGTCAATATTCGGCTGGGTGGTTATTGGACCAGCCGGTAACTACACTCACACTGCCACATCAATGACCATAACCACGGAAGAACTGGAAAACAGCCTGCAAAACCTACTATTGCGATTTTGGATAATAGAAGAAATACCATGGGAACCAAGCGGCCAACTCAATCCAGATCAACAGCAGTGTGAACAATATTACATCGCAAACCAATCACGAGTAAGCACTGGAAGGTATAAGGTCAAACTCCCCTTCACAGAATCCCCTGAAACACTTGGAGACTCATACATCGTGGCCCATCAATGCCTGGTGCGCCTACAAAAACGATTCACAAGGGACAATAATTATCGCACACTATATGTTCAATTCATGACAGAATACGAGAACATGAATCATATGCGAAGACTACCAGCAAACTAGCATTCCAACAAGAGGGCGTACTATATGCCGCACTATGGCGCAATAAAACCGGACAGTTCTACGACTAAGTTAAGAGTCGTCTTCAACGGATCAAGCCCATCCTCAACTGGACGATCATTAAATGACATAATGCACACCGGCACAAACCTAAATCCAGACATTGTAGATGTATTAATTTGGATGCGCAAACACAGGTATTTATTCTCCACAGACATCACAAAGATGTACCAACAGATACTGGTCCACCAAGACGACTGGGATCTACAGCGAATCCTGTGGATAGAGGAACAGGGCAACGAAGTCATCTATCAATTAATCACTGTCACATATGGAACCAGAGCGGCTCTATTTCTAGCTGTACGAACACTCCTTAAACTCATCCAAGACGAAGGAGACAACTATCCACTCGCTGTACCCCCCATCAAATACGGAAGATACGTGGACGACATCTTTCGCGGTTCGGACAATCCTAGTTAACTAGTGGAAATAGCAACAGAATTAAGGGACTTCTACATGGCGGGCGGATTCGCATTAGCAAAATGACACTCCACCAACGAAGAAGTAATAACCGCCATTCAGGCACCGCCGAATTCGGAACAGTCTGTCAACTTGACCGAAGATGCCACCAAAATTCTAGGGCTACAATGGAGACCCAACGAAGACATCTTCTCATTCTCAACATCATTGACTCCCCAAGCAACCACCTCCTCAAAGCGCACCATTCTCTTTGACATTGCAAAATTGATTGAACCATTGGGATTCGCATCTCCCGTAATAATACGAGCAAAATTACTACTCCAAGAACTATGGTTCCATTCTGTTGGATGGGATGATCCGCTCCCAGATCAAGTTGTCAATCGATGGCACACCATCAGAAGAGAATTACAAACACTAAACGAATTAACCATACCTCGGTGGTTCAAAACAAAGGAAACATCAAATATAGAACTACATGGATTCGCTGACGCCTCGCAACTAGCAGTGGCTGCCGTCATTTATATGGCAATATACAATGAAGACAATAAACCTACAGTAACATTAATATGCTCAAAAACAAAGGTAGCACCACTCAATAAACTAACAATACCTAAGTTAGAATTAACTGCCGCATTACTACTATCAAGACTCACCATACGCATCAAAACCTCACTAAATCTAAGGATAAGGGTAACACATCTATGGACGGACTCGCGAGTAACCCTGACCTGGATCAAGGCTCACCCATCACGATGGAAGGAATTTGTGCGCAACAGAGTCACACAAATTCAAAAACTCACAGCAGAAACACAATGGAGGTGTGTGCCCGGAACTTCAAATCCAGCCGACTGTGCATCCAGAGGACTCACCACCCAACAACTCAAAACACACCTTTTATGGTGGACTGGTCCCCCATGGACAACAACTACAAATTCGTGGCCAACACAACCCATTGACAAAGAATGCTACCAGGAAAATCAACTCATATAAAGGCAGTATTAATTTATTGCATTGTCCATTCCACTTGCCAGCAAGCCTCCCTTCACCATCTCAGGGAAGCGTTTTTTGTCTGTTCTCAGACAGCAGTTATTATAAAATCTTCTCGATAATTATTGTAAATTCATGCAAACACCAAAACTTTTACTCAGAGTGGAATATAAAATAGTTCATTTTATATAAATGTACTTAGTTTTGTTTTGTTTAACAAAAATTTATATAATTATTAGGGAATTCTTCATTTAATATCTTCGATTTCAAAAAGTTTCATTTATATACTAAATTTTTTAATTATTTTACTTAATACCGCAAAAACTTATTATGGTAGTAATCAAATATGTTTCAGATTATTTTGATACTGTTATACTTTATTTTTCAATAATCTCATTGATAAATTTTAAAAGATTGTTAGATATAATTGAGTTTTCATATTATTGCAGCATTAGAGATTTTTTTAAATTCAATTATTATTAATTATTTAAAAATTAGTAATATTTGAAATTACTAATTTGCAAATATGCAATAATTATTATTATATTTTACATAAGAATATTAAATTATGACAGTCTTTTATATGTATTTCATTCGATATTTTAATTTTCTTAGTAATGTTTTTAACTAAATTAACTATTTTCATGATTCAAGAGTTTATTTGTTAAATTCATACATAAATGATTATCTATTTTATTATAAAAGCAATAAATATTTTTGAGAATCTTTTTTTATCTAATAACATTATTTAAATAAATATAATTAAATCTATTCACTATTGTAAAAGTTTCTTTTAATTTATAACATAATAAGTCGTTTAAAATCAACTTTTATGCAAAAATAAGAATGTACTAAGAATAAACTATAATATATCTTTTATCTAATAGTCAAATAACATCTGAAACATTTGATAAAATGATTTTATAATATATATTATCATAAACTAATGCATTATATGTAATATAAATAAATGCCATGGGTTTAATAGAATTGCAAACGTGAACCAAGTTAATATACATATATATATATATATATATATATTAGTATTTGGTTTGGTAATTCAAAAGTGAATCCTATAAACTTATCTATATATTCCTTAATTACAAGTTGTAATATCGTGAAAATTTACAAACACGCTAGTACTATAAAAGTATTTATTTCCCCCAAATATTTAGTTTATTATTATATGTCATGTTTATTATACATTTGAAATGTAAACATATTTTAAATCGTGCCTTATAGGTTATATTTATATTTTAAAATAAAATTTTTATCATTTTTATTGAAAAAAATGTCGAGAAAATCGAAAGATTATTCAAAGTTCAGTAAACGTCAACGAATTTCTAATTTTTCAAAATATAAAATGATAATGAATAATGATAATAATGATAATAATGTAATGTTAAAAAAATCTGTGACAAATTCTACATCTCCATCTATTATTAGAATTGTCCCTAGTAACAAAATAAGTATTGTTGGAAAAAATTCTGTTAAAGCTTTCATTGTAAAACGCTCAAACAATGTGAAAGTAGAAAATATTCCATCGACTAGTCATTTAGAATCAGGTACATACATATATAAATATAACTTAGTAGTTACTTTAGTTTTATTATTTTTATTGTATTTTAAGACCATGCACATATTTGTAAAAATGAAAATTTATATTATGATAAAAACAAATTTGATGATTATGATTATGTGATAAATGATGAATCAATTAATACAGAATATTGTGATCAAACAATAATACAAGTTAAAAAATCTGAATTATCAAAAGGACAGATAGGTATTATCTTCTTCAATAAATATAAATAAAATTATACTTATATTATTTTTAATTTATTTACTTGTTCCAGAAAACAATACTTTAATTATTCCAGAAAAAATAAATAAAATACACTGTAAAACATGTTGTTGTATGTTATATTAAATTATGGGATTTTTTAAATACATATTTATCCACATGAATTTAAGAATTAATATTTTAGGTTCTTGTAGAGAAACACTTAATATTATTTTACAAAAGCAACAAGAAATATTAAATTATTTGAAACATGGTCAATCATTTATGCAGCAAGAAAGAAAATTAGATCTTTTACCTAGTATGCCATTTAATGATATAAATGACTTTCTGGATTTTGATGAATCATTAACACATGAAAATGTGCAGGATCAATTTGTAAGTTTTATTTAAAATATTTTTAATGTTTTAAAATTAATGCAAAGTATTTCTAGATAATAAAATTAAAAAAATTACTTGTCAGTACTGAACAAAAATCAGTTTCAAATATTATGTCTAGTATCATGACAAATGAATTATGCAGAATTATTTCTTGGATTGGAATAAAAAATACAATTGCATTTGGAACTACTAATATGGTCAGCTTAATTATAGGTTAGATTGGTTAATAAATTGCATATTTATATAAATAAACAAAGGGTAATTTTATAAACATTTGCAAATATGCAAATTTGTTGTAGATTTGATACAAGAGCATCATCATCTTAATATAGATAATGGTAAAGCTCGTATTGCGGAGTGGCTTCGTAGATGTGGAGATAGAATAGGTAATGAAATTAGAAAAAATAGAAAAAGAGTTCAACAAGGATATTCTACTTAATAAATATAAATACTACTAATATATATATATATATATATATATATATATATATATATATATATATATATATATATAATATATTACTAGTAATGCAAGAGTAAAATATTATAATAAGAAATTTTAGAGAAAATTAATAATTTTATAAAAAAAGTATGAATAAGATAATCTGTATACTATATTATATATTGAAAATGTTTTTTGTAAAATATATTGTTTTATTTATAAACAAATTTTATTTATTATTATAATTCTAAAATTAATACTATATATTCATTTTAAATAAAAGAAGCATATATTTTTATTTAATAAAATATATCACCACAAAATTGAATATTTTATGTATATACATTCATATATATATATATATTTAAGTATATTTCTAAATTAGATAATGATTTATTCAATTAATCTTTCATTTTATTAATTTGCTTAATAAAATGAATTAAGAAGTTTTCTTCAAATTACGTTATTGAATAAACCACCAAAGATAATTAATTCTTTTTGGGTATGTTTTTTTATATGAATATTGGATTTTATTTTATACTATATTATTAATTATTCTTTTAGTAATATTTAATTCACCCTAATGTAATAATAGATGGTTGAAAATAAAAAAATTTTCTTCATATATAATACTTACAGATTTTATAAAATATCTGATTTGCTCAAAACCTAAGTTATTTAATTCTAACGCTATATCAATTTCTAAAATATCAAACATCTTATGTCATAAAAAGTAAGTTAAAGATTGTGAATCACAATTTTATAATATTCAAAAGTAATAAAATGATCATATCAAGATTATAGAACTTTTGAATTGTGTATTAAAATTGACAATATATTAATATATTGTCATTTTACTACATTCAAAACATTAAAATTCAAGTCTACTAATTATGGAATTATATAATTAGTTTTATATAGTTATAGAATTAATTATTACAATATTACATAGAATTATATAATTAGATTTAAAAAATTTGTTTATCTAACAAAAATATTTTATTCGCAAATATATATATATATGTGGATTCAATATTATTTTGGATTTTCTTGATTATGTTTCTTTTCTCATATTATTTTCAACAATAATTGATGTATTATTGATTATTGATTTTAAACATTCAATTTTAAGCGAACTTGTTATAAAAATAAGAATGTTAATAAGATTGTATAGACCAATAAAAATAATATTCATTGGTATTAACCAATACTTATGCTATTTATGGAGTCATTGAAATATAATTTAATTTAATTACTCTTTCATAAACACTAATAAGCATACTAATATTAATATTGAGGTATTATCATATTTTCTCTAAATAACACAACAGCTATGCTTTAGCTATACTTCAGTAACATAAATCAATATAAAAATAGAATATGCCTGTTCAATTGATAAATTTTTATGTAATCCTATATTTTAAAAAATACTTTATGGTTTTTTTTAATATTAGAATAATATAAAAGTTTAGTCAAAACCAATTGGTATAATAAATATGTGTATCAATTTAAAATATTGAACAAAATGGAGCAACAAAGAATATAGCAGATATGGATTTAAAAAAATGTGGTCTGAAATCCTAAAGGATAGTAAGAGTAATAACTGGATGATTAGTGTTCAGTAAGATTAATAATGCTTTTGTTTTGTTTTATGCAATGAAATATCTAGTATATAAATATTAATAGCCTTTTTATATAAAAAAAAATAAATATCCAATTTGATCTATTTATTATTTTCGAATAATTGAAATTGTTTAAAATAATCTACAATATACAACAATAATATTTTAATTTGTAATGATTTCTATCATAAATTATATTGTTGAGATAGTATGTTCAGCTTATTATTATGAGTAATGCTTACATAAGTCATCAGGTTAATTTGCTTTCTTTATTTACTGCCGAGTTTTCAAGTTCTAAATATTTTTTGCTTTTTTCTTTCAATTGCCATGAGAAAAAAAATCAAAGCACAAATTACTGTTTTTGTAATTTACTTTATCTTATAATCAGGATGTTAAAACAGAAATATTGTTTATAATCTATATGCGTGATAATTTAATTTATCTTTCTTTTTCCATAATAAAAGTATTAGCTATAAAGGCCTGTTAAGACAGAAAAGAATGTCAATCCTTTTGATTATATTTGCATGTATATTAGTTTGGTGGAAGAGTAATGACATGCATGTACAGACATCTACGCAAAATTTCTGAAGTATGCCAACTTGCATTCATGTATTTAATATATCAGTTTGTAACTTTTAACAACTATTAGAAGTTGTACATCAATAACTTTGTCATATCATTTTTATCTTTTAAAATATCTATGTAATAATTTAAAAAACTTTAATACACTTTCGTTTAAGAAAACATTCAATTATATTATATTCTTAATTTATGTACGACTTTGCATTACTTACTAATAAATTAATTTTATAATATACAAATAAAGAGAATAACAGTGCTATATTATATCATCCTTTATAAAATTTTTATTAGTAATATTGTAAATGTTCGAAAATGTGTGATTTTCTGGCTCGAATTGCCGCCCGCCCTTGTGGATTCTTAGGCAGGAGTGAAATGGAAGGGGTTTACATTAATACAGTGTACGCTTCTTCATTTAATATGGTTTATTAAGTTTATTCACAATTACATTGTTGTGTTGGAATTATGTGATGGAAAGGTATATACTATGCTCAATCACGTTGATTCAATTGCTTGAACTGATTCTGTAGTGAAAAGTATATCTACACAAGATGTTTCTTGATTTTGTTGATTTTGTAAGAATCAGCAACTGATTATGCACACTCTTATTAATGAGTATAGTTGTGATATATTAATAATATCATCATGCTAATCTTGTAAGGATTAGCAACGATTTATGCCTTACACTTGGTTTAGTTACAGAGAAACAGTAGCCTTTACCTGTTCTGTGTTGAACCACCACCATCACGGATGCTCCGTGTAGCTGATTAGTTTCACTATTTTGGATGCTCCGTGTAGATGAATCAACTGCGGTCTAGCACTTTCTTGATTTGAACGGGACAGTGTCAACTCCTTTATCTTGCAGTACAAGACAATAAACGCGTCTTCCTTCCTTGATGACCTTACCTTGAGAATACCTAGCTGACTGACTAGCATGACTCACTGGCTTCCTGGCTGAAGAACTATAAGCGCCGTTTTGTTATGTGCTTGCTTGAAATATCCACACGGCAGCTTACTTAGCTGGCAACAATGCATAAGTGCTGCTATGCAGAAAATATTGCAGAGCGTTCGAGTCTAATGCTTTAGACGTTACGAGAATTCCGGGAAAGCATAGCTTTAAAAGGTAGAAGAATTTCAACCTACATTGCTATGCGGAGACCAGATAAACATTATAGGACGCTAAAAGGTAAAGCTTTAGAATATTCGAGAATTCTCGGAGTCAAGTGTTTACAAAATTAGAGAACTAAGAGGCCTGTTGTACATTTCCGAGAGCCTAAGTTCTTGGAAAATGTTCCAATTCCGAACAGTAAATAATTGCCGAATACATAAATATATAATATGATAGAGCTTCATTGAGCGTTTATAGAGTTTGTGTTTTAAACTAATAAACAGACATTTGTATAGACATAATGTAGTTAAAACCATGAAATAATTATAAATTGATCATAAATCGACTTATTTTATAAGTTTATTATATAACACAAACTTTTAGTTTTGAATAAATCGTACCTAATTTTATAAGTATTAATTTTTAAATATTACTTCAGAAATAATCTTAAATAATGGTTCTTTAATCTTTATTAACTTGAAAAAAGAATACTGTGCTTTTAATTAGAATGAGAGAAAAATATGAAAAGTAATTAGAAAGAATAACTATAAACTTTGAAAGTATAAAATTTGAAAATTTAATTTCATAAATTCAAAACAAGCAGTTTATAACAATAAAATATATAAAAGTAAAATTAAAAGCAGTCTATTTCATAATATGAGAATACCATGGGTTTCTGTGGTTAGGCCAGACTTATTAAAATTAAATAGTATAGTGTCTATGAAATCTTAAATTATAGGTTTATCTTAACAAAATCAGATGCATATAATAGAATTTGATTGTCAAAAACATTAGAGCTTATGAAGTTTTCCAAACTGATAAATTAATTATCATAAAAATGATATATTAACAGACTGGTAACAAATTAATACAAGATATAATTAAGATAAGACACATCATACTGTTCAATCATCAGAAATAAATGATCTCAAGTAAAATTTGAGGTTGAGATTAGTAAGCTGAAGAAAAGAAATATCAACCTGAATTATTAAAATAAATTTATATTTTTCTTATGCATCTGTACTTTATAGATTCCGACGAATTTTATATTAGGTAGTAGTAGTGTAGAGAGATCTGTTATTATACACATACATATCACATTATAAATGGTGAATTGTGGTTTGTCATAGATCACTACCACTACGACATTGATTTTTAGATCATTGATGTTTCTTAGACTATGCAATACATCAAAGCTGTATGATATACAAATGCAATATATCTTAAATTTAAATATGAGAATGGTCTATATCATTAAAAATATATGAATTATAATAATTATATTTTTCAAAAACAATTGTAAAATAATTACAATTAGTAGGTACTGTAACAAAATGATCTATTACATATACATATTTTTATAATTTCTAAGGTAATACAAAATATTGTATAGTTTTACAGAGTTTGAGTAGTATAAAAACTGTTTATAAACTATATATAAGAAAACTAAATATCATAGAAAATGTATAAAGCATGGATTTGTCTTTAGAAAAAATATTTATAAATTGTTACCAAACATTTTAAAATATTATGTGGAATCTATAAAATAATCATGCTTAATACATGTTCGTAATATATGATAAATACATGCTTCATAATCAGATATAAATATTTTGTGTATGAAAATAATAGAAAACAAATAAAGTAGATATGAAATAGTTAAAATTAAATTGATCCAAATAATGATGAATTTTACAGATGACATTATAAAAAAATAATATTTCTTAAATTCTATTATTAAAAATATTAGTGTAGAGTGTAATTAAACTTATTACTATAAAAATATATTATATAATTATTACAATACATTTTAAACAAACTAAAAAAAATAGATATTTTCATTCGAAATTTAATTAAATTTTATTTTAATTTTTTTATTGAATTTGAAAATTAATGCAATATGTTTTATAAATATTATTTTATAATTTTTTTCAAGTTATTTTTATCTTTGTAGTTCTTTTATATATAAATAAACACACTTAAATATTTTTATACTTATATTTTTCTCTATTGTCAAAATCATTAATTTTCGTAGAAAAATTATTATTTTATAAATATATTAAGAATATATACATTTTTAATTAATTTGATAAAATCGTTAAATTTTTTTTTTATAATTATAATTTTTTATAATAGAAAATTAATTATTTTGTAATTGTTATGATAGCATTATTACCCTGATATGAACAGTTTTTTCTTTGTTTAACATTTATTCATAATGTTCTTTATGGTAATACATTTAATTAAAATTTATTCAATATTTTATTTACAATAATTATTTTAAAAAATTTAATGAGATATTCGTTAAACTTTTTCTTTTTTAATTTTATCAGAAATTGTGTATTTATCATATATTTTGGTAGGATCATATGGTTCCCATCGACTAGCTGGAAATATATGTTTATTTCTTTCATACCATGATCTGAAATAGTACAATTATGTAAATATCATTAAGTTTTATCTTTGAAAGTTAACACATTTTGCTTACCGAAGTAATACTTTTCCTGCATGGGATTCTTCAGTCTCGACAGATGCATCAGACATCATTCTAACATCATCATGTACATCAAAAGTGAAAAGAGGCCCACTTTTTCCTCTTGCCTTTATTAAATAATCTCATTGATTTTCTGCATTATAGTACTTATTGATAAGAACATATTTTATCTTATAATACCTTAGTTACAATGAAATCATAAAATGTGTAGTGATGTGGAAGAATTAAATCTTCTTTCACATACATTAACTGATCTGCCATTACTGTTTTCAATTCACTGAATTCTTTTCGTAATACTTCTAAACATCGTTGAAGAAGCTGATAAATTGAATTACCTACCAATTGTATAAAATAAAATCAATTAATATATATGAAGAAAATAAATACATATCCAAATAATTACCTTTTTTCATTGTAACACTACGTCTGTGCCCAGATCCATCCCAATAACTGAAAGTAATTTCAATTTCTTCTTCTTTAAGTGCATTTTGTTTTTGGGCCCATTCTTGTCTAAGTTCTTCTCTTAATTTATTTTCTTCTTCCTCTCTTTCTCTATCAGGTAAAAAACTTGTGTCAACATCTGGATTTTTTTTAATTTTTTTTATTGCAAGTTCTAAACATTCAATTGATTTCGTTTTTCTTGTATTTGAATCTTCTTGAAAATTATCTTGTTCTTCCTCTTCATCTAAATTAAATGATAAAGCTTGAATTTGTTTTTTTTGTTTTGTTCTTTCTGCTTGTTTAGCAGCAAGTGCTCGTTCTTTTTCCTGTTCCTTTTCTTTTTCTTTCTGTGCTAACTTTCTTTCACGTTCTTTTACAATATTTTCTTGTTTTGCCTTCATTTCATCCAAAGTAACTAAACCAATAGTAGAAGTTTTAAGTTGTTGCTCAACTGCATTATAATGTGTCGCAAATTTATTTTCTATATTGTGTATTTTTAAATCATTTTCTATTTTTTTTTTTCGAAGTTCAATTTCTTGTTGGGCTATTTCTCGTTTTTTCATCAACTGCATTGCTCTACCAGCTTCACTTGCAGCTCCTTTATAATGAGCCATTGTTTACAAAATAATTCCTTCAGTTCTGATAATATAAAAATATATTACGTTTTATTTTATTACAATATTGTATGATATTGCAACTACATACTTGTCTTATACTTAAATATTAAATATAAGACAAACATGTACACAAGTGTATAAGATTTATAATTAGTGTACACAAATCGTTTAATTATGATTTTTTATAAAATAATTTAAAACAAAATATTCTAAATTTAAACAGGTTAAAAGGTTAGTGAAGTAAAAAATAGTTTTCTTGTTTTGATTAATTGTATAACCTAAACCTTTGTTAAAAAATATTTCGTACATGAATCAATCGACAAAGTTTAAATTACAGAAAAATAAATATATTACGTTTTATTTAAGAACCTGTTCAACCTATTGCTTTTGTATAATCGACTATGTAATTTTAAAAAAATTAAAAACTTTAAATTTAATATAAGGTACTATACTGTATTACATTTCTAAAATAAATAAAAAGAAAATTAATTGGAATTTGAAATTTAATCTTAAAAATTTTTAATTTAATATATTGTACAAACGTAATTTCAACAGCAATTTTTGTTAATTTCCAATTGTGTATAAGCTACTATATCAAAGATTTCAAACAGTACAAAGATCATTCATAACACACGCCATTAATATCTAGTTTATTAGAATTGAACTAAATTATCGAAAAATGAACAGAAAGTATTAGCTCCAAAGAAAAAGCATATTCATTACTATATCTCAAAGCATAATAATTATATATTAAATATTTAATTATATTGATTAAAAAATCAATAAATCTTTTAGATTTTAATATTTAATTTGCTTCGTTTCTACAGAAAAGAATTTTTAAAGATTTTAGTCTAATTTATATAAAATGTGAAAATAATATATTTTTTCTGAATTTAAATTTATGATATTTATAGGTAAAAATGTTAAATTCTATTTATTCATTTATCAATGAACTTTTTAAATCTTGCATATATTTGTTCAACGAATTTTATACAATTAATAAAATAAAAATACGATGTAAGTTATTAAATATTTTTTCAGATACATTTGTATTACAAAATTGTTGTTGTAAAATATTTATTTTTGTCATAAAAAATAGTAATAGTGTAATAAATATATTCAATTAGTCTTCTAAATATAATTATACAGCTTTTAGAATAAAGAAATAAATATTTAAACAGGCCTTTCATTTTTTAAGTTTTTATATTGTATATGTATAAGTCAAATTAGTCCATACTAATTATATTATAATATTCTTAAATTTATAATTCAATATATTCAAGTATATTCAAATAATTTCATATAACACAAAAGAAACATTTTTTTCGGTAATGTAATTGTTAAAATCAAATTGTCTATCTACTACTTTTGAATACGTATATATTTTTTATTTTCTTAGGAATAGTTTGGCTTATATTTATTTGATTAATAATATAAATTGAAAATAATTTATTTAATGTTTTGTTAACAAAATTTTTCAATATTTTTTTATTCTAATTACAATTCATGTAATATAATAATTATTTGTTGAATCGTTGATATAAATATTCGATGAAATTAAATTATTGAATTTTAACGTAATTTATTACTAACCTAATTTATTTATACAAAATATATTAATTTTAATAATAATATTTTGAAAATATTTATCAATATATTTATTTACTATAATCCTTTCACGTTATCTATAACATTAATTAACATTTATTTATATATATATATGTGTGTGTATTTTTTTTATTGTATACTTATTTGAACTACAAAACATATTTTAATTAAATCTTTATGTTAAAACGCCGTACCACTACAACTCATGTACGAATTTTTTTTGTAAATTAATGCCTATTGTTTTAATTCTCCTCTTTTGTTACTTGCTTAATTGATTCTGAATAATTGTTTTGGTTTTTCGATTTGTCAATTATATGAACCATCAATTTAATACCCTCTTCCATCATCCTCTTGTAGCTTTTATCCTCTATAAATTCGGAGTAAATTTATACTATTCTGTATATGTTCTTATTTACGAAAGATACAATATTTCTATTTATTTTTTTATACCTATGATCCTATTATACGTTTATATTTTTAGATTTTTGTTTTATTTAATATTACCCTTTATTTTGATAAATTTACTTATACGAGAGATACATGCAGCATAAATGTTAAGATATTTTAATAAGACATTAAAACTTTTTATTCATTTACATTGCTCGATTTCCTAATGAAATAGTTAGGAAGTAGAAATATTATTGATTAATTATTAAGAGTTAGTTATTATTATTAATTATTAGTATTTGATAGTATTTTTCAATGCTGTCACTAATCAGTTACTTTGTTATATGGCATATATTGCTAAATTTATTCATTTGATTTTTTCAACATGATATTTATTATAGTCCAATACTTAGTAGAGAATTTAGATTTTCGTGTACGTATTAAATAAAAATAGTAATGTTTTGAATTTTCGAATAGATTTTTTTAACATTAATCCATTTTATATTGTAAATATCATGTAAGAATAACATTCATTTATATTACCTTCAACAAAGGTATTCTATTTGTAGAAAACACCATACGGTCACGTGAAAATGATTCATAGGAACTTTATTAAATATAAAATCTAAATAGAAACAATTGTAATTATATTATTTTTTATATAATGTTACAAAAACAATAACGTTATTAAACCGAAGTGATGTCAGTTTTTACATTTACAACAATATTGTCGAGCATTGTAGGTTTGCATAAACATTTAGAAACAATAACCAAATTTCTATCTTCTCTCTCTCTCTCTCTCTCTATATATATATATATATATATATATATATATATTAAAAAATAAATAAATACATATATATGTATATGTATATTTATTTATCAAGATATATATATCTTTAGAAATAATCATAATAATTCAAACAGTAATGTTCCTTACGAGTTAGCCAATGCAAGTAATTGATAGTAGGCATCTTTCAATTACTTTCCGATATATATAAATTGTTTAAACAGATCTAAAATTTTTTCCAGACATCCTATAGTACTCAATAAATTATAATTATAATTTTTTTTAACTATCTGAACTATCATTTTACAGATTATTGATTCTTAAACATTTGAGACAAAATAATTAATAACATTATAGCTAGTATAAAAAACTATAGCCGTTAACAATCGGCTAACTCAATCACATCTAATCAAAGACAGTTCTGAAATTATTTCCTTTTAAAAGGCGGTTGAAAAAATAATTAGCTATTTTTTATTTATCATATAAAAACATTTAAGGCAAATCGATGTTTGCATATATTTGTTTTGGACCTTTTATAAATGAAAGATAAATAACTATTTAATGATAGTATTTCCTTATGCTTCAAACGAGAAAGTAAGAAAATAAAAAGAAAAAAAGGAAAGTGAAGCAAAATATCCCTTTAATGGCTGCTCACTTCAATCGTAATATTTTATTGGCAATAACCTCTTTTTAACTTCGTTTTTTTTTCATTCCTTACTAAATTATTTTATTTATATAAATCGTTTACATAATCAATAACTGATAACAATCTTTAACATTATATTTTATAGTCTATGGTATTGCAATGTACCAGAAATTGAATAATTTGTAATACGTTTGTAAAAGGAATGCATTTATTATTTGTATTAATGAAAAGCTTATATATAACGCTTATCTATAACACAACTTAACATTCGTCAACATGATGATATATGTATCAAAATAATAACAATAAGTAGAAAATAAAAAATTTTAAATGTCTGATTAAAAATTATTAATTATTTTTTTATTAGTGAATCCTCTATTGTGTATAAGATAATATCAATATACCAACCACAAATAAAAATTATACTAAACATCATTATTAGAATTATGGTATTAGAGAAGTAGAGAGATTAAGAGATTAAGAGATTAAGAGAGAGAGAGAGAGAGAGAGAGAGAGAGAGAGAGAGAGAGAGAGAAAGAGCAAGGAGAGAGTATTAAATTACGTATAATATAAGAATTGACGAGAAAAAAAGCAAGAGATGAAATGTCTCTTTTGAAGGTATATTTTCTATCGAGGTTGAATCGAAGAAACTGCTATTACAGTTGTTATTGATAAAAATGAGGATAACCATTTTAAGAATTAAAAGCTCATTGAAAGCATTTTTCAGTACATTTGTTCTCTCTTAGAGCTCGTAAAGATAATTGACTCAATTATTTAGTTTTTAAAGCAAAATAGCATCAATATTTTTAATATTTATCAAACTATAAATTTTTCAATGTTTAATAATTATAAGATAGTTATTCTTCGAATTTGATGCAGTTAAAAAAAAATAGTATATCTTTTTCTGGTATACACAATAAAGATCCAAGCTTATTAACCATTAGGATCAAGTGACAATTTAAGTGAGTCAGGGTTTGTAAAAATATTGATAATGTGTCACATTACTTTACGAATACATTATAACAAATTATTTGTTGTTTTAACAAGCGCAAAATTATTATTACCTTTTTAATTTTACATTAGAATTGATATTAAAAACAAAGTATATATAGTTGGTTAAATTAAATTAAAAATATATATTTGAATTCATTTGATACTTTTATTTATAATCAATTAAATTTAATTACAAATTTAATTAATTTAATTACAGGATTTGATGTTATACTAAGTTCAATGGAATTCAAAAAAAAATTTCTAAAAAAAGCTGTAAGAAATATCAGTTTCAACTCATTGTATCATCGCTATATTTTATTCATAAAACTTAAATTTTATTTTGAGCACGAAGTGAAGATTAATAAGTTTAAACTGTTAAAAGACTTGTTCTGATACAAAAGTTACAATTAGGAATAATAGTCTAGTCAATAAAATAACCTTTTATTTTAAAAATTTTGTTGATTCTTTAAGATTTATATTTGTATAATATTTAGATTATATATTATATATATTATTATAACATTTAAATTTAGGTAATTCATTTTGCTAATAATTTGTAACATTTATTTTTAATGCCTATATTTAAATATGTATAATTTTACGTCTTTCAATTTTAATTCATTTTTAATAAATGTAAAGTAGTTTAGTAATTTATGAAAAATTAATTTAATTTTAGCATGTCTACCATTATTCAATATATTATTCTTCGAGGAGATCTTATTAAAACTTTGGATTGGCCTGTAGGAGCAGTAATAGCACAAGCATGTCATGCTTGTACATCAGTTATTCATGTATTCCACGACGATCCTTGCACACAAAGTTATTTATTAGATTTAGACAATATGCATAAAGTGGTGTTAGAAGTAAGATTTATTATTTAATTGAAATTATATTTTACATATGTATCTGCTTTACAAAATTAAGGTAATCAAGGTACTTAAATAATTAAAGATGAAAAATATCTAATTAAAGGTTGAATATTTAAAATTGATTAAATTATATACATAAAATTTAATTTTATGATTCAAAGTATTAATAATCCTAATATTAATTTAAATATAAAAATATAATTTGGTATAATTTTAATCAAAATAGTAAAATATTAAAATGTTTTAATTTACAGACACCAAATGAAGAAACTTTAAGATCATTGAGTAAAACTTTAGAGAATAATTTAATTTGTCATAAGTTATGGATTGAACAACCAGAAAATATTCCAACATGTTTAGTATTAAAACCATATTCTAAAAATGAGGTTTATAAATATATTAAAAAATTAAATTTGTATAAATAATCTTATTTCAATTATTTTAATAAAATTAGGGATTAAAAGTTACTGAAAATATAAAACAAAATAAACTAATTAAATTTTTTTATTTTTAATGTAACATTTGGCATCAATTTATTGAAAAATTTTCCAATTAATAAAATATATTAATTAAGTCATACAATATTTCTCTTTATAATTTTAATTCTTGTTCCATTAAATTAATAATGATTATTTTATGTTTAAGTTTTCTTTCATGATACTTTATTTGTTACTAAAAGGGCTGTATTTTCCGATCATTAAACTTTATTTCTATACTATTATAAATGAAGAAATGACTAAATAACAAGTATTACCTTTTTTCATTATTTAATTATTTCTAATTATGTATTAATATTAATAATACATAATTAATTTAACATGTAATAATAATTATGTATTAATTAATTGTGTCTTACTTTTTACTATTTAATGCAACGATTATAAATATTTATTCAAAGACTAAAATCAAGTATTTTATAAATTCTTTTCTCATACTTTTATATATACCATTGTAAAATTAAATTGGATTCACATATAATACAGATTATTAATCACAATTATAAAATTTAATTTTACTTTCGAATCGTCATTTATAAACACTTTTAAATAAATATATTCTTATTATTTATTAACTTTAAATAAATACCAAAAATTTCTGAAACTATGAGTTAGCGCTAAAACACGCTACACTTGGAACTAGATTGAATATATTTTGTTTTTTCATAGAGGAGTTTATATTAATTTTACATTATTTTAATTATCAATTATTAAACTATATTTATATTGTATTTCTGTTTTGTTGTAGTATTAATATATTTTTATGTACACACACACACTATTGGCATTTAACACTGTAAGTACATTTATTTACAACACTTATTGGCAAGATTCTCCTATATTTTATTTAAATGTTTAAAAATTGTGTTGATTTCAACATGATGAATGTAATATATTAATGCAGTTTCATAAACTAATTATGTAAATGGACTGTTTTCGAATTAATCTTCATTCTTCTTCTTCAAGCCATTTACGTAAAATATTGTTCTTCGACTGAAAAAATAAAAATGAAATTTATATATATTTTGCATATAAATGTTAAAATTGTAAGTTTTTACTTTTAAGTACATTTAATTTATCTACAAATTATGATACACTTTTGTACTCAATAAATATGAAATACATATAATTACCTACAATTTTAAGTTTCATATATCAATTTACATAATTTTTTATCAAGTAAATATTTTTAAAACTTTTAGATTTTAATAATTTGTAATAAATAAATTTATAGTCAAGATATCTTAAAACTCAAATTATTTATGGATAAGAAATTTTGTTACAATTCAATGTAATGACCATAAATTTAATCTTATAGAATTTTTATAGATTAGATTATATTGAAATATATTATTATAAAAGTTTTTAATATTAGTATGCGATCCATATATAAATATTATAACAAAAGGATTAGCAAAAATTAAGGTACTAAATGAGGCCTAATTATTAAATATATAGAAACATTAATACCTTACCAAGAATAACAAGTCCCAATTGTTAGATCTGGATTAGTTATTTTATGTTATATTTTTATTTTATTGTATATTGATATGGACGTAAGTGGTAGTGGTAACGTTGAAATTAAGCTAATGGAAAGTAGAAAATAGGTAAGGCATCAGCGCTCGTATGAGTCGATTATTTTGAATTATTGTTCGGCCATATTGCCGTTTTCTTCGGGAGACATCCCATCTTCATATTCGTTATCTTGATCTTGGTCCTGTTCTTGTTCATCGTAATCCGTCTCTGCTGGTTCTGGACCTTCGATTACCGGCGATGATGTGCTCATCGCTTCCTGGATTGTTCATATTAGTTTTACGCGATTCGAAAAAATTTAGACACAGGTATACAAATATATTATATTTAAATGAAAATTAATTTTATGAAGCTTATTTATAGGAAATAGATATACGTGGTGAATTTTAGTTACTAAAATTGATTAAATAATTTTCTTAACATTTTTATTTTGAGTTTATTTTTAATGTCGTTAATAAATTTTATTATAAAAATTAGTAATAATTAAATTTTTTTTTACAAGATGAAATTTTACATTTATTAGTAAATTTATATAATATAATTATAACAATTAGTAGAAAAAGAAAAAATTAGTTTTAATAGGAAAAAAAATAATGACAATTACACATTAAACATGCAAGAGTATGATAAAGTATAATATATCTGTGATAAGTGTTTTTTAATGTTTGATTATAGTTAATTAAGTATGGTTATTTTTAAATTGCAACTTTATTAAAATAATAATGTATTTCTTCAACAGAAATATGTTTCTTGTAATTGTAAATAACAATTCTTTCACAGTAATTAAAGACAAATTTGATTTTTTGAATTAATTTGTAAATTGAATATGTATTCTGAATATATTTTTATAATTAAATTATTATATTTTGTATTAAACTAACAATGTATATAATATTGTAAGTAGTTATAAATAAATATATAATTTTTGTGAACATATTATTTAAAATAACAATGTCATTAAAATTTATTTCATATGTATTAACTTATTGGTAAAAATTAAGATAGATACTATTATTTTAGCTGAAAAAGCTCTAGATCAATGTTATATACAAGTTAAAAAAAATAATCGTAGATTATTAAAATATTTAATTATTTTTTAAAACGAATTAAAACTTTTTACTTAAGGTGTTTCTTACAAAAAATATGCTGAAAATTATACTATTCAATTTCTACAAAGTATAGTGATGAAAGGGAATATTACCTGAGATGGTCTCCAGCCACAGCCAGATAAAGGAAGACCGTCGGACCCTACAGGACAGGGTGCATCTAATCCTGGCACACCTTGTTCACCCTTGTCACCTTTTGCGCCACGTTTGCCACGCTTGCCTTGTGGTCCCTGAAAATATGTAAACCTTCATTGCACATATGAATAAATAGATTGCCAATCGGTAGGCTTTGTGCGTGTCTTTTCTGTCTTGACTTTTCCTCCAAATTCATTTCTTCTTTTTCTCATTCTTTTTATCTTTTAATTTATATCTCAATTTTTTCTCTTCCAATGCTGTCTAGTTAAATAAAATCTTCAATATATATTTGCCATGGTATATTGTAATTCTGTTCTTGTTGAAATGCTAAAGTCAATATTTGTTTATCTTCTGGATATTGTGGATTATATAATTCAAGTAAGAAAATTCAGAAACGTAAAAACGATTGTAAAGAAAAAATACTTATTTTTTTATATCATAATTTCAACATATATTAAGGCATAATTTCTAGTAAATCATATTTTGAAATATAAAACATTTGTATATGTACAAAAACAGCTGAGAATTCATTGATCTCTCCAAGTTGTATTCAGCACTATATTTGTTGTAATTAAAAATCATTACTTTATCAAATATATTAATTAGTAAAAATGATTTCGTTTTAAGTTATTTTATTGTTACGACCTTTTATTTATATTTACAGAATTATGTTTAAAATTTCAGATTTAACAAATTTCTAATATGTTTAATTATTTTTAAGAAAAACATTATAATTATAAAATGTAATATCTTCAATAAATTTGTTATACCTTCTTAATACTTATTGTATACACAATAATGTATAATGTAAAATATAGAAAGAATATTAAATGATAATAAATCTTAATTAAAAAAAAAATAAATAGAGTAACATTAATATACACTTAAGATTATCAAATTGTTTCCCATCTTATTTAATTATTTTTACATTATAATAAATAATTCGCATTAAAGCTTAATATCAACTGTATCATTATTTTAATGTGAATTATAAACCGTATGATTGTTAAAAGGAGATAAAGATGTATAAAAGTGCATGCAAGAAGGCCAAGCTTGTCAATCGCGTTGATGCAAAAGTGAATATCGATGTTTTTAAAGAAGTTCATAGAAAATCATAACGAAAGGTAAATGATTAAGATAATATAGAGTATAGTATAAAACTTATTACTAGACATGAAACTTAAAAGATGATGCATAGTAGATGAAACAATACTACATTTATTCTTTACCATCATTTCTATTATTCTTAGTTTATTTTTTTAAACAACTATACTCGCGACTTTGTAAAAAGCATTATTATCGTTATTTGCATAATGTAGAGTCGCATATTTTATAAAAATTAACGACCAATGAGTGTGGTGGCAGCATATAACATAATTGGCGAATGTTTTTCAATGCTGCATCGTTCATGCGAATAATAATGTTTGGGATTAATATAAAATAATTATTTGAAATTTAATTTTCATTTCATTTTATATGCTTTATATGCTGAAAATTAATACTTACAGAATCGCCCTTTACTCCTTTATCACCTTTGGTACCCTAAAATTATTATAGCAAAAATGATAGTTTCTCATTATTTTATTTCTTTTTCACATTGCGAAATAGAATAAATGATTTTAAGACCAATAAGCAGGAGAATTTGAATTTATGTATTACATGGGATTGTTCTATTTTCCTATATTAAAGGATAATTTCTTATAATTATTTGAAAGCTAAATTATGAAATTTTGAAAAATATATATACCTCAGCACCTGGAATTCCGTCAGTTCCCTGAAAATACAATAATTTGTTTAGTTATATCATTAGCTATTACTGACATTTTTTACCAACAAATTATGTTAAATTTCTATTTATGTAAATCTATTTTTCCTAAATTTTTATTTAATAAGTAATGATAAAAATAAAACTATTAATCAAGCGTAAACTCTGTATAGAAAAAATATCTTTTATAAATATTAATAATAAATATTTATTATCAATATTTTACAATCACATAAAATAAATTACTTATTATACGTATACTTACAGGCAACCCTGTTTCTCCACGTTCTCCTTTTGTTCCTGGTTCACCCTGAGCTCCCTGAAAAAAAATAATAGGACATAAATTTTTTGCTATTGTATTTAAAATAAATTTTTATTAAGAAAGTTTTCTGATATAGCGATGCTTACCTTCATACCGTCTAATCCCGGTGGGCCCTGAAAGGTAGAGGAAATCAAATGAAATTCGATGAAAACGGAAATAATGAGTTGAAAAAGGAAAACATTAGTGCTATAAATACTCTTGCTAATTAAAAAGATGCACAACTAACTAATAGATGCAAAGTTTATATGGTATGGTAAGAAGATACATGGATTCGTTTCACATTACTATTAAGACTAACAAACACGATGTACATAAAATATACACATATACAGATAGTATATATAAATAATATATATAAATTTCATATATGCTAGAATTAAATAAATTTGATATCATGAAAAAAGTTGTGATAAGATATCGATTATGATAAAATTCGAATGTATACTATTATTTTTATTAAATAATAATCAATAGACACGTTTTCAAAAGTTTTAAACTTGATTTATTTTATTATGATTGATTGTGAAGAAAATAAACCGCGTAGGAACTATGATGATGTTCAAAATAATAATTAGTAATAAATGTCGATACATATTCTCCAAGGTTTGCTTATATTATATGCAACACCATATTAATTTGAAAAAAAAACAATAACATTTTTATTATATTGGATGATATATAGCTATATACAATGATTACACATGTAGTTTATTTTATTAAAAGCTACGACAGTTAAGAAATAAGAATATAGTTTAGAGCAAGAGTATGATTTTAAAATAAAATATTCAAATTAATACAATATTTTTAGACAGAATAGAATAGATGTTTGCATCAAATAATACTGAAGTTTTTGATTAAATTTAATTACAATTTTATTTTATAATAATGTTACCAGATTTGATTAAATATTTTATTTAAAATTATATTTCAGCCCTCAAAAATATTTTATTTTAATTGAAATTTTTTAAAATATTTGTTTCTATTCGAAATTACTTTATAATTACTTTCAGAATTTAAATTACATATTCATCAGGATATAATTTAGGATGAAATCATGAAATTCAAATTGAAAAAATAATGGAAAAAGAGAGTAAAACAAGCATGAGAGTTGAAAAACGCACAGATTAAAAGTATGTATATTTTTAAAATTTTTTTACATGAGTACATACATCTACTATATATGAAAATTAAAAGAAAGTCTTCACCTGTAAATAAGAACAAAGCAGCATATTTTTTAAATATATTTAACAGCTTTCTAAATTCTCTCTAAAATAAAAGCGCTGGTTTTGTTTATGTAAACTCTATGATCGATCGTACGATTGTGGTCGCAGCAAATTAACACATGTTCGATCAATCATTTTAATCTATTTTCATTTTTATTGTATAATATATCTTTTGCCTAATTACTTTAAATAAAGTAAATTAAAATAAAAATTTTAATGTAAAAATAAAAAATTAAATTTTCTGAATACGAGATGTAACCTTAATGGCAGATGTTTCTTTAGTTGCAGATTTAAGTAACAAAATGCAAAGCAGATAACATTTAGCTAATAATAACATGATAATATTAAAAAATTTATTAAGAAAATAAAGGTAGAATAAAATAAGCATTAATAAAGGTTCATTGTAAAAAGCAGTAAGGCCTCAGGCACATGCACATTCTGTTTATTAATCAGAACATTGTTCAAAACAAAAATGAATAAGTATGATCTTTCATTTTCTTTGTCCATTGTTTTCCCTTTTTTCTTTTCTCTTTTTTTTAATATGTTAGACATCTTCGAAAAGTCGTCAAAATATTCGAATAATAATCCTCCACTTAAATATTATTTAATTAACAAACATATATGTCATATATAAGCCATTATTTCTTATAATTTGAGGATCATATTTTGACGGCTTAAGACTATTTATCACTGTTTTCTTTCCTCGTATATGTTATCCATTTTATTTAATTAACATTAAATTTAATTAAACTCTTAAATCTAATTTTATCCTATGAAGATAACTAAGGTAGTTAGATTACATTACGCTTGAATCCTGTATTTTACAAGTTCGGAACAATCAAAATCTGGACGACGTTCAATTTTTTATCCGAAATTCCTATTAATTTTTTTCTTTGTCTATAGCTTAAATTCTAGATATTAAGTACATACATTGCAATAAACATTAAAGAGCTGCAGACAACGTGTATATTCTCTTTCATTTTCTTTGATTTCTTATGTTTATACAAGCAATTTTTAAATCATATATAGAATGTCAACACAAAAGCCATTCGTACATTTGTTTTTTCTATTTAAAGTCGATAGTAAATAGTTTAAAAATTAATACATTTCTAAATAATAAGGAGTATAAATTGATTTGAGCTTATTACAGGCTTACAGTGTTTTGATTCTGTTTTTTTTTAACTGCATCAACTTACATTACAATATAAATGTGGATCGCTTTAAACGTCAATAATCACATTTTTGGTAAAAATACGTTTATAGAGTATTCTGCATTAATAATACTGATTAATAAAATTATATTTCGAATAAAACTATATAAAAATTATTCTTTTATTTGTGGTATGTATTTTAATTAGAATTGAAAACAATATTATTATAATGTGATACACAAAATACTCCATACGAATCTTAATACTATAATATTGTCCCTGATGTATATAAAAAACCCTTAGAAATTATTCAATAAAGTTTAATATTGTAATAACTAATTCTATTGTTAGCTTATTATATAATAAATTATTTATTGCATAAAATCATAAATTCTTATTAAAAAGTTCTATTGTCCATTTTTATAAATGTAGAAAGTACTCTAAATATTTTTTAATACGTTTAAATATCGAATATTGAATAAAGGAAAAAAATAAACACGAAATAGGGTAATATAGCATTAAAAATTTCATTGCATTTATAATGACGATTAATGGCACACTTGTTAAAATTAAAGATAGTACAGTTTTGTATCATAAAATCATGTTTAAAATGATAATTTTATATGATTCACATTAGGAGATCTATCCTAAAAATACATAAAAGTATAGATATGAACTAAATTTATAATATAAAATAAAAATAATTTTTTTTTTATTCATTAATCAATTGTTAATTAAGTAATTAATATTTAATATTAATATACAATATGAAATAATCGTTCATTAAGCGTTAAAATCCAAATTGACAAAATTTTTGATAATTATTATATTGATATTAAAGAAAAATTGTTTAGAAATATTTCTATATCGTCTAAAGCGATCCAATAAGGATTCACAATTAAATGGCACTTCATCCAAGACGTATTTTATACTTTCAGTACTTATGGTTTTATTCGTTTTCTTTCCGTAACCCGTTTTATTGTTACATTATTATAAATAAAATCCGCGAACTATCAAAAAAGTTATGAACAGACCGATAAAATCTGCAAACAGATCATAGGCACGTTAAAAGCTTGTTTTCATTCTTGTATATTTACTCTTTTCTTATCTGTACATGCACTTGTATCTATTCATTTAGTACTAAAAATATACTTATAAGACAAATATCATTTGAAACACGAAGAAAAAATTCTTTTGAATTTATTTATATTATTATTTTTTCTTTAAGATAAACGAACGGATGTACATTTTTATAACTGTAATTATTAAAACTTCTTTTTCGTAAGTTTTGTTAGTTAGTAACTTTTAATCAACTTTTTTTAATATTTCGGTTTCCATTTAAGTTTTAGTAAAATATAAAGAAATAATTTTATACAATTTTAACTAAAAATAAGGATTTAAAAAATGATATAATATAATTTTTAAATATTAAAATTATTTGCATTCTATTATAAAAATACTTATTAATTACAATGTAAAATGTAAATTAATTCATAAGTTTATAAAAAATTTTTTGTAACTTAATCAATAATTTATGATTTAAAAATATTTGTATATTCTGATAAATTTGGTTCATACTATATAAAATAAAATAATTATGAAATAATTTAAAATATTTAAAGTGAACTTTCATTATTTTGTTTCAAATTATAGCCTTACATAAGTAAATATAATAATAATTTATTTAATTTTTTTCATTTGTTTATGCCACATTTCTATAAATATTAATCTTGTTAAATTATATTTATAATTGGTTTTTGTACTTTGCTGATAAATATAAAAGATTATTCGAATATTTGATTTTATACTTGAATCTGTAATTGAATGTTTAGGAATGTCCATAAAATACACGTTATGTCAATTTACAAAATTTTGTTCATAACTGTTTTCAAATCCATAATTTAAATATTTATCTAATATTAGACTTTCAAAATTACGAGAACATCGTGTATAAATTGAAATTTTCTTCAGTTTTGTATATATGACCTTCGAATTTGCATTTTTAACAGTCAAATGTTTGAATTCTATGTACAAAGTTTAAAAAATTAGGTTTGAATATGCAAAGTTTCGAAGATCTAATACAGGAGAAAATATTGAAGATCATAAAAAGACTTTCAATTTTTTCTTCTTTAATGTTTGTGAATATAAATTTTTCTTCAATGCTAAAAAATCGTTATAATTAGAAATTTAGTAATATAACATTGAATGAAAAAAGTTCATTATACATTTTTTGGGATATTTTTCTTTTTCTACGAATGTGTTTTAGCATTTTTTCTTTAGAATTAACAAACTACGGAAATCGCTAAAAAAAATGTCACAATTGCAAAGTTTAAACTATTTAACTTCATAATGAAATTTATCGCTTATTAAGATAATCAAATAGTAAAATATAATATCATACATTCTAGAATAGTAATATGTAAAAGTTTTCAATAATTTTATTAGATTATTAATTTATTAAATATTTTGAAAACAATTTGATTACTGTAACAGTAATTGAAAATTTTAAAACTTTTAATAAATTTAACCATAATTTTGATTTCTGTGTATGCTGTTATATTTTACTATTATTTTTTAATATTTTTTAATTTTGGAAATCACAATATTTGAAGCTTACATAATCCTAGTACATTACATATTTGCGCATTTATTATCATCGTTAAAATGCTTTGTTATGAATTTTCGAAAATATATTATAGACTTTAGCAAGTATATAAAAAACACGATCGCTTTTCCACTTACCCATGAATAATTGGCATCCATAAATCTCGAGCGTAAAATATGACATAATACGTTTCATTTTATTTTATTTAGTTATATACTAAAATCAGATTGATTCGTATACATACAAAAAAAAATGAATAAGAAAAGTGGTTGAAACGGATCATTATGTATTTACGAACTCGAGTATTACGCGAATTGATTAATCTTTTGTCATCGATAAATATTGTAGAAGAATTTATTAGAGAACATTGTGATTAATTTTTTCTTTTTAGTCTCAGTAGAAACTGATCTCATGCATGACTCATTCCTATTTTGAAACTGCCATAATATCGACAAACTGCAGAAATCGGCGTATCCCTTCAAGTTTTTTAATAATGTCGATATTATAACGATAATGGCGACGTATATATCATTTATCATTAATAAGATATATTATTAGTTCAAATATTAACAAAAATATAGACTATATTCTTATTTTACTATAAATATCTTTAGCATGTAATTACTCTATTGTGAGTTAAATTATTTTAATAATAATGATAATATAATAACTATCGTTAATTTAATTTTCCCGCAAATATTTGAAAGAAAATTAATGATATTCTATTTATTTTTATATCCCTTAAATTTGATACATTTTTACTAACTAATATTTTGTAAATCTAAATAAACTAATATAAATATAATAAATATAACATAGAATTATTCATTTTTATATAATTATAATTTGTTTTAAATATAAATACATAGAAAATAATTAATAGTTTCTAATATTTTTTTGATAAACAACGATAAAAATTATACATAAATTATCTTATTAATAGATATTAATGTAGATTTAAAAATATTTGTAACATAATACAAAAAATAAGCCAATTTTAACATATCTATATAGGATATTATTGAATTATTTACTATTTTTTTTAATAAAGAAAAACTTAATTCGTGCATTTAATATATTTAATATTTTAATATTTAGCAAAATATTTTTATATAATTTAATTGAAAAATAATTAATTTTAGGAAATGCAATTGATACGTATACGTACATACATACGTATATATAAGAATACACACCCATTCATGTATATATATATATATGAATATATGTATGTACATATCTGTATATTGTCATAAAAATGCAAAAAATTTAAATAATGATCCTTTATTAAAGGAATAATATAAAAGATACTTTAGTCCGTCAGTTATATTTTATAGCTATTTTTATGTAAGTGCAAATTATACAATCGTACATCTATTTTATAATTGAAGTCAAAATGAAGATTAAAAAATATTTTAATATTTTAATATATTCTTTTATTTTCTATATTAAGATATTTAAGTAAAAATTCTAGCGAAATCCAAAAAATATATTATTAATAAATTATCACAAATTTTTTAAACGAGTAAAATATCTTATAGACGCATAAAAATTAAAAGTAAATATTTTCATTATGTAATTATTTTAATATTCTTAATTTAATGCGTGGAAAATATATAAATAGATAGATAGAGAATATATTTGATTTAAATTAATATTCTTTTTGAATAGATTTTTCTTGTATTGATTTCGATATACAACTAAATTTATTAAAATTACATTTGTATGTTATAAACAGAGAATATGTAATATGACGTTCGTTAAAAAGTTTCATTAAAAATTTGAGTTTCCTAAATTTCTCATTTAAAACATAGAACATGTCTTTGAAATTTTAGAATAAAATTCATTAACAGCAAATGTGGCACGCCGATTTCTGCTAGTTTTATAATGAATGAGTTAAATTGGTGCTATTTGTATATTTATACGATTACTGGATACGTGACAAAATATATCTGACGCATTCGTATGTTGATTGGGCGGAGTGAGGCGGCAATGAGGTTTTAGTATGAATGAATTACAAAAAAAACAATCTCGAAAACAATGTGCTTAAAGTTAGATTCGAGATGCATTTTTATATCAGGTTCTTTGTGCTTATCCGTAAAGTCACGGCCAATCTGCGCTAGATAGGTTATTGTCGGTTATCTTTGTAGTACCTATCCCATGTTAGTCGTTAGTTGAATCACCACGCACCAACCTGTATTTTTTAAGCCGATTATTAATAAAAAAGAAAATATTGTTAATCTACTCTATTTTGTAATACAATATAGTGAGTCATCTATGCTAATTAATTTGTTGTAACTGTTAGCTTTATAAATTTTGTATTCAATAATATTTTCTGTGATTTGAATAGGAGGGAAACTTTATTTTAAATAGTTTTCATCGAACATTTGTATAATTATACGTAAATAATAATCGATTGAAAAAATTGAATAATTCCACAAAAATTATGTGGATAAAATATACTTAAAAAATGTTATTAAAATATATACTTTATATTTCTTGATATCTATAATAATCAATAAAATAATGTAATTATTTATTTTAACCATGTATATTATATTTAGTGAGTAATATACTAATGAATTTATTTTAAATATTTAGTTTGTACTTATGTGTTTAATATGAAATAATATTTTGACAAATTAATAATAAATTATATGAATAAGGAGAGAAAAATATGAATGTTTAATTAAAAATTAATATATATATGTATATAAGCATAATTTTCTGATAAAATTTGGTTTCGAGAATTATATATAATTATGTACTATTAATAGCAATTTAAATATTCATTAGTTAAAATTTTTTTTATTATTTTAATATGGATAGTAGATTTTCTTTTGAAACAATTAAAAGATGATTGGATTTAAAAAGAATCGTCCTTTTAATAATCAATATTACTTAAAAAATTAATGGCAATAAATAGAATATTAATATAAAATTTATATATCTATGTATTTTACCTAATTTGTTTTCAATTGAGCCTAATAGTAATTGAAAAAAAGATTTTGAAAAAATAAAAAGTTATTATTCTATAAACAAACGTTGTTTTAATATTAAAATATATAGTAATTTTTAATAAATGAAATTAAGCAAAAATATGTTGGCTTAAATAAAATTACCCTCCTAAATTGTCCTTTTACACACTTTAATGGATTACATGATTAATTGCATTTATATTTAGAAAGTAAAATCTATTTATGTAACAAAAAATGTATAAAATTTATAGATCACATAAATAGTTTAATTAATTAATATAAATATAACACATAAACATCGAATGTCAAAGTCAGTTTTAATATTGAAAGCCCATAAAAAATAACTTAAGCAGACTTGGTAATAGAAATTGAGAATTATTTGAATTAAATGAAATAAATGTAATAAATACAAAATTTTTATATTTAACATTTAGCTGATAATCTAGAAATAAGTTAAAAAATTAACCTCTTTATAAACTTGTCAAATTGATCGTATATTTTTAAATTGTGATAAAAATTTTATTTAACTGAAAATAAATATTTCAAATCTATAATTTGATTTTAAAATATGTTTTATATTTTAATAAATATTAAGGATGATGTACCTAACGGACTTGCGATTTTAAGTGAAAATGTGTTAAAAAGGTAAATGAATAAATATATAATTTTGAGCAATAAACATTTTATCTCGCGTTTTCAATCGATCACTCGAGATCACGTGACTATAATCATGGCTGCCAATAAACTGGAACGATTCATTGGATCAGAGAGATTCATTGTTGTGGGCGTGTATAGGTACTTGTTACAAACGAGAGATCCTTGATCTTACCATGGCACCTGGTTTGCCTTCTCCTGGCCTCCCTGATTCCCCACGTAGTCCCATTGGTCCCTATAAAATGTATTTTATATTCAATATTTTTAACTCAACATTTCAAAAATACTACAGAATAAAAAATAATTAGTCTAATGTAATGTCGTTAATTTAATTTAATTTATTTAAAGTAAAATGTAAGCAGTTGCACTAATAGTTTTTGATGTAGCTTTTAAAAATAAATGGATGAATGTAAATTAATTTTTTTATTAACGATAGTTTTAATGATTAAAGTTTTTATATTTCATTTAATTTTTTTAACGACTCACTTATTAATTAAATTAATGCTGTTTTCATTCTATTACTTAAAAAAAATTTTATTTAGTTGTATATAAGTCTTATATTTATTTTAATTTTCAAAAATGTACTAGAATTATTTTTTTATGTGTATTCGCTGCAGACGTTGTATTATGATGTGTCCATTCATATTTTTAAGAATATGAGAATATAACAGTTTATAAAATTATGTTATTAATTAGAGAAGTAAATAACATTTGATTGTATTTAATATAAAACTGTTAGTACAGATAAATTCTTTCTTACAAAACATGTCTTAAAACTAACGAACCAGTTCAGTAAAATTTGGAAATTCGACGAAGAATATGAATAATATTTCCTTGTCGAAAAATTCATCGATTACATCTGCATGCGATATATAAATTAAACGAGAGCAATAAATCCATATTTGTACAAATTTTAAAATACTTGCTTCATGATCATTATAATATAATTTTCATTGTATTATAATTTATTTTAAATATGAGATAAGTATAATACCGAATTCGATATCTCCATAAATTGTATAACATGTAATGTCATGTCAATGAATCTATACAATAATAGAAAATAGTTGTAATTTTATCGAATAAATGGCATCATAAAATTAAAGAATAATATGAATGTATAACGTTGTTTTTAAGTAAGATAGAAATTGACATTAAATTATAAAACAAATTTTATGCAGTACTGATCAATACAATAATGTTTACGGCTGTACTAATGTAGACCTTTTTTATTTAATATACTTAAGTAATTAGAAAAATAATTTTCGGGCAAATTAGTTGATGAAATTAATTGAAAAAAAGAATTTGACGGTATTTCTTTGAAAAAAATTGCTATAATAAAAACAAATTTTTTTTTAAATTAATTAAATATAATTTTTAGTACTCCTTTTAAATAACGGATTTATGGATTATGATGAAGTAATATAAATATTGAAACTATAGTCAATTATTTAAATTTAATGTCGGAGAGCACAAAATTTTTAATTACTATCTGAAAAGCACTAATTAAAATATATTAAATATATAAGTATCTTACGTAAATTAAGTTTATAATTACTTTGATAAATTAGAATATATAAATAAGTATATTTTCTAATTAATTAAATATCAGAAAACTATTGATTATTACATATTTCATATAGAAACAGGTAATTTTCTATATAAATATTGCTAATATATTTTAATTAAAGATTGCTTTGACATATCTTTCATTTACACGCTTTAAATGTAATTATTAAAATACTATTAAAATACTATTAAATAAATAAAATATTTGTTTGGAATTAAATTAAATTTTTGAAATTTGTTGAAAATTATAAAAATAATTTTTTAAAATTATTTTTAAAGATAGAAAAACATAATGAACCAATGAAATATTTAATATCATGTCTATATTTATTATTTTTCTTATATTGTATTATATTTTATTGATATATAAAATGTTGTATTTCTATATTTTCTTTTAGATGGATGCACCGAAACTAAAATACATACATTACCATATAAAAACAATAATCTCATCCCAAAAGTATTTAATTTATAAATATTATAAATTACTTGAATATATTTAGTTTCTAATCAGAAAATATCAATTTTAAATTATGTTCTAATCATTTTTACAGTAATAATGTTATACATACGGGAAGCCCCATCGGACCAGGATCACCCTTTCCGCCTTTTTCTCCCTGAAACAATAAAATTAGATTTTTAATTGTCATAGAAAACAAATTTGATTTCTATTAATTTAAAAAATAATTATTCAGTTTTTAAAATAATTTATAAGTGTTTTAGCGATTAAGCAATTAATAAATTGTAGAATTACAACTTGTAACAATTAGAATAATTTAATTAATTAGAATAAAATATTAATGCAAAATTTATAAAAAAAATGCGCCGTGTAATATTAGTAATTTTGAACAAATGTTAATTATATAATAAATAGTAAATTTCATAAATTATATTCAATATTTTATATTAAATTTAATTTTTTTAAATGCCGATCTTCTACTAAAGTATTTTATTTTAAAATTAGCTCTACATAGAATGTACGAATTTTGAATTTTTTATAAAACTGACTAGAGAACTTCATATTTTCTAGATACAAATTAAAAATATTTACAAGTAGTTTTATAAATATTATATTTTAATACAAAATGAAACAAACTTTCAATATAATTTTTGAAAAACGAATAGGGAAATTTTTAATAAAGAAATTTAATTAATAGCAAGATAACTACCGTAATTTTTGGACTAATTAAATTGTAAATTCATAAAATTTTCAAAATTTTTCATTTACATTCATGCTTTGCGAAGACGCATTATCAATAACAAGAAAAAATAGTAAACATAATTACTGACAGGATCACCCTTGGTACCATCATGCCCTCGATCTCCTTTGATACCGGGTGGGCCCTGGAGTCCAGGTATACCTGTTGGCCCTGGAGGTCCTGGAGGTCCCATTATCTGTAAAATCGTATGGCCTAAATTATAAATTTTCATAATACATTTAATAATCAATATTAAATTCTTAAATGATAAAATAAATTTAAATAAAAACAATGCAATTTTATTTTGTATAATATAAAATATATAAAGCCTTTTTATAATATTAATAATCTTGATTACCTAAAATTTTTAAATTTATAACATTATCAAATATTGTTTAAAAATTATATATTTTTAATTTTATGTAAATAGAGTAAGATAAAAAAGGCTAAATAAGGCTATTTAATAATTTTTAAAATATTTATAATTAAAAAAATAAAAAAATAAATAATAAATACATTAGATAATGTAATTAATAAAATTCAACTTCTATTTGTAATTAAAATTACTGATTTAATAATAAATAAAATTTATATTTTTAATAATAGTGAAGAATATGTAAATAAGTTATTTAAAAAAAATCCATTATTAAATTTCTAATTAGAATACTAAAGATAAAATACTCACATAAGATCCCGTCATTTCACCAGTATTAATTTCAAATGTACTGTCACCCTATATATATGATACTTACATTATTTTCAATATAATTTTTTAGAATACTAAAAAAGTAAACATTTCATATTTTAGTTACCTGCCTTCTCCTTAATTTTTTGTACTTCTGCTTTGTCCAATTTAAGGAATTATAATTAAAAATTTAATTAAAAATGTTTTTCAAAAATTGTTATGAATAATTGGAAATTTTTACATACCGATTCGCCTTTGTCACCTTTGTCCCCCTTTTGTCCAGGATATCCCTTAAGAACAACAACATTAAATTTTCATTAGGAATGTAATATTTTTTAACATAAATTTGAATCATATATACATGAATTTTTCTTATCATTAAAAAAAAAAATATTTTATCATAGGAAAGAAAAAGTTGATTTTTAAATCAATAATTTTTTAATCAATGTTGATCTTCAAAATTTATATTCGAAAAATCAATTATAAATTAATAAAATTACTTTTATAAATATGAACGAAATATCCATATACTAACCGGTGGACCAGGTAAACCAGGAGGACCCATAAGACCTGGAGGTCCGATATTACCATAGTCTCCTTTTTCTCCTTTTGGTCCGTAAAGTCCCTTAAAAATTAATTAATTAAAAAATAAGATATTTATTAAATATTTATATATGATATATACAATATAAACTATGAATTTATATGAATTTTTAATTTCATAATTTAAAACATAATTTTAATTTTAATCATAGTCTCCTTTTTCTCCTTTTGGTCCGTAAAGTCCCTTAAAAATTAATTAATTAAAAAATAAGATATTTATTAAATATTTATATATGATATATACAATATAAACTATGAATTTATATGAATTTTTAATTTAATAATTTTAATGTACTGACAATTTTATTACTTTAAAGATTTTTATTATCATTTAATAAAAAATTTAATTATTGAAAGATCTTTTGTATGGATTGTTAAATATAATAATTAATGAAATGTATAATTTAATTGATTAAGTGAATTTAATTGTTGTCATCGTATAAATAATTTTCCACAAAAACGTCCATAATAACGTCCTATGATAAAATCCTATGTCCTAAGTCCTATGATCTCTTTTCTATGATAAAAAATATTAGTTTAAATATTAAAAATGAATGTACTTAAACTTATTCCATATAAAACATCAATATTAAGTGACAAAGTGTAGTGTAAGATTTTTAATATACATGCATGTACAGTCCGTAACACGTTTTTTAAAATTATTATGTATATCCAATAAATTTTAGAATTTCACAAAATAATATAATTATAAATATTAATTTATGTCTTAATTACTAGAAATGAAATGTATATTACATAAAATTAATCGAATATTGTGATAGATCTAGTATTTTTCTTCATACATAAACTAGCTATGATAATTATAAACAATTTGTTATAATGTATAAATATACTATTGTCAAATATTTAACATTACAATCCAGAAATTATTGTAAATAAATTTTTAATAATATTGAATCATTCTACTATAATATTAAATTAATATGCTAATTATGCAATAATTATGCTCATCATAATTATACTAATAAAATTATACTAATTAAAATCTTTAATAAATATACAAAAACTTAAACTTACAGGTAATCCAGGAGGACCTTGAATACCCACTTCCCCGTTTAATCCATTCACACCTGGTAAACCTGGCGATCCTTGATCACCTTTTGGGCCTATAATTTAAATAAATAAAAGAAAACATCGTTACAAGTTTTTATTACAAAGTAAATTTTATGCACAACTTGTTATATCCTAATGCATGGATATAATAAACTGTTGCCTGTAATGATATTTGCTCATTACAATAATTTTTGATATCCTAATAATAATGTATTTATTATTATCTCCAAGACAATAATGTATGTATTTATTATCCCCAGCTATCACATACGTAATGATGTCTCTGGTAATATTATACCTTCTAAACCTTATCTGCTCATAGGTTCGTAGTGTTCGCATTGGCTGAGTACACCCTCTGAGACCCTCGTTAAATTTATTGCTAAGTTGTCATTCCAACTTCAGTCACCCTATAAGAAAGGCTTGATTTTGCACCTCTCCAACTGACTCTCCTTACAAATTTTTATTTTATTCATTTATTGGTTCATTTGGTTGTTTGAAATAAGAATGGAAAGGAAATCAACAGTGTGCGCTTAAGTAAGAATGAAAAGAATGGAAGGGACGAAATATGTACATAAATATACATATATACATTATAATTTTCCTACAAAATATATTTATATAACATACCAAATATATATTATTTTCTTAATTTATTTTATAAATTATTTATCTCAAAATAAAGATTAAAGAATAAATCTAATTAAAAAATGCACGTGCACATTATATACACACACACACACACACACACACACACACACACACACACACACACACACACGTATATATATATA